GTCCAAAGGGATCTCGTTTGAGGGTGTGGTTTGGGTGCAGGCAGGGGAAGCCATGCACTCCTGATCATCTGGGAGTTCCCAGTGGTTTTCCTGGTTTGTAAGAGAGATGCTCTCAGACCCTGTCCATCCTTTACATCTGATTTTAGGTGTTTTAGATGGTCACTCAGTATCTAATGTGAAAGCTGGGTTTTGACTAGTTATTCTGTTGGTTTTTTAAGAGAGAGAAGAAGAAACTCCCTTCTCCTCCAGAGCCCACTCCTATGTCAGCTGGAGCTTTAGAAAAAGCAAGTGGCAAAGAGAGCCTTTGGGTTTTTCCTTCAAAGCCACCGATGTGCTGGAATGTGGTGTGCAGAGTGCTCGTGCTGAGGAGCTGCTGCAAAGCTTCCCCTTGTCTTGCACACTGGCTCAGGTCCCTCGATAGCCTTCTGAAGTGTTCTTGTTTTTTTGGCTTCTGTTCTTCCTGAGAACAGACTGTGTGTGTCCTGCTACCTGACAAAAGAGGGGCTCCATTGGCCTCTTTTGAAAAAGACACAAGGTTCCTGAGTCCTCGTCAGTTTGACTTTCAAAAGAGCACAGTGCTCAAAAAATTTGATGCCTGAAAGTAGGACACACTGTGAATTAGGTCCCTGAGTTTAATCATACCATATTCAGATACTGAATTGCTAATTTGACTCTCATGAATGGACAGGTAATTGTTGTCAAGCAGTTTCCTGGGACAGTTTGCCAAGCTGGCCTGTGAGGAACCCATGATCCTGCAAGAGAGATTGAATAACAAAAGCAGCCAGGAATGCAGTGTCTGTTCAAATGAAACTCATGAAGCCTAAGGAGGTGGAAAGCTAGAAAGGGAAGAGGATGCTCCATGCTTGGTGTGTGTAGTAAATGAAAAAATTACATTGTTCCAATGCTACCACTGAGTTACTGTGGCCCTGGGCAAGTCACTTGAATTTTTGAGCAGTGGGGTCTCTTCCCCATGCAAACACCACAGCACACCTATCACAGCAATTAGAGAAGTGATCTTTGAAGAGTTGTAAAACTCTTGAGTATCTAAGGTCCGATTTTGGCTTTTTTTTCCTAATAAAAGTACATTGAAACTTGATAAATGCAATCAAAATAGAAAAGATGGAGTAATGTTTTTTCAGTCTCCTTTAAAGTCCAGCATGGAGGTGGCCATCTCCCCCAGGTTAGCAAGAGGAGGATGGGCAGTCCTGTCTGGTTTCTGGGAGACAGAGAAATAATTTCCAAGATTTCTTTGTTTTGTTACCTCTGAGCTGTTTCATTCAATTACTCTTTGTGGTGTTGAAAAACATGCTTTATCTCTTGAGTGGCTGCAGAAATTCTGCAGGGTTTGACAGTTCCACAAAGCACCTTGGCGACACCTGCATGCTTTGATATCTCATTGCAGTGTTTAGGAATGAGATCAGTCTAGAGATGCAGTATATTCTCCCCATGGTAATTGGGAAAAATTGGCCACAGCCACTTGGATGCAGCTCTGTAAGTGGTGTTATTCACCAAACTGTGCTTCTCCTTCAGTGGGCAGAACGTTGGTTCCTCTGTTAGCTTTTAACTTTCATGGCAGTATTCCAAGAGGAAAAAACAGTACTTAAGTTTCATTCTTAGCACAGAGATAAACTGAATGTCTCTGTCATTTGTCTGAAACCATGTGGTGAAAGGCATGATTTTTTTTTTTTTTTCCCAACAGTTTTGCAGAGTAATAGGACTGACCATGATTTGGATTGCACAAGACACGTGCTGGGTTACTTTAAAGCCTGCCAAGTTTTAATTTGCAATTTCTGGAAAATTTAGAACAGAAACATCTGAATGTCTGCAGAAATCATGCTTCTAAATTTAACTTCTGGATTTTGTGTTGGTAAAGCATGAAATTGCCTGGTAATATTTGTCCATTGAATTTCAGGGACAGCCTTTCCTTATGTTGACAGTGTTGCACTGGTGGTTCTGCTGTTCTGTTCCTGGTCCTGCAGAGTGTGAATGATAAATGTTTGGAGCAAAATGCTCAGTGAAAAGGTGTTAGCTAGGTTTTACTACTTTCTGTTTCTGTCAAAACAAGCAACAAGCCTTGGCAAGAATGTTCTTTTACCTTGTTATTGTTTTCTTCAGTGTATTTCTGCAGTTAATAAATAATGACCTAACTTTCCCAGGCCAGTAAGAACTGTTTCTGAACACCCTGTTACAGCAAGTGTAGGAGTTTGCAAATATCACTGAGAAATCCCAATACAAGGACTTTTGTTTCCACAACAGAGGAGCTGTGCAAAGTGAAGAACTCATAAACCAGCAGAACCAAGTGCTTTTTCAGTGCACAAAGTACTTATGTACTTTTTTTTTTTAAAAAAAAAAGGATTATTTTCACTAACAGAAACAACAGGTTATAAAGATGAATTCTGTTTAACTGTGGAATAAGATAGATTGATGGTATTATAATCTGATATTCTTATATCACTAAAAGTATAGTTTTGGACTGAAAACCAGGCAGTTTTTTTTGAGAGTTCATTATAATGGTGGTGTTGACATGGACACAGATTTCCACAGGTGGCTAAGCAGGCAATAAAAACATTTACACTGTAATCTGGACTGAGGGATGAAAGGGTTTCTAGCTCTGCCCACCTGAGGAGAGCTCCCTCAGTCTGTGGCAGCTGGTTTCTAATCCTGGTTTTGATCCTGCCTCTGCATCTGGAACCGTGTGCTCTCCTACCCTGACAGGTTGTGGCTTCCCAAGTGCAACTCCTTTTGAGAAATAAAATAAACCCCATCAGTGTTGCATTTAGGCACAGCAGGTTTCCTGTTATTGGGGGAACTGAAGTGGCCAGACACAAATTGCAGCTAATGGCCCAAAATAAACTAACTTTGATTGTTTTTCTCTGCTCTTTCCCTGGACAGTAATTCCAAGTGTTACTTTTAGCAGCTCTAGTGTCTGAAAGGAGCTTTGGGGAGAGAGAGTTCTGTTGTTGAGAGCTGATGTCTCTGCAAGGCTGAGAGCACTTGGAATGCTGCTATTGATTGGCCAGGCTGTTTGTTCCTCCCAGACAAAGTGGGGTTTGCCCCTGCTCCAGGAGCTGCAGCAGCTGTGCCACAGCTCCGTGTGTGTGCCAGCCTGGCTGGGGCTTCCTGACCTGCCCAGGGGCTTCCTGACCTGCCCAGGGGGTTCCTGACCTGGCCAAGGGGTTCCTGACCTGGCCAAGGGGTTCCTGACCTGCCCAGGGGGTTCCTGACCTGCCCAGGGGGTTATTGACCTGCCCAGGGGGTTAGTGACCTGCCCAAGGGGTTCCTGACCTGGCCAAGGGGTTCCTGACCTGCCCAGGGGGTTCCTGACATGCCCAAGGGGTTACTGACCTGCCCAAGGGGTTCCTGACCTGCCCAGGGGGTTCCTGACATGCCCAGGGGGTTATTGACCTGCCCAAGGGGCTCCTGACCTGCCCAGGGAGTTCCTGGGCTCCTGGCAAGTGTGGTGCCTGCCAAGATGCTGATCCTGTTTTGCTGTTCAGAGATTGGTTGCTCCATGCTGGTGGGAGGATGGGGTGTGATGTCTGGTGGAGAATGCAAAGGCTGAGGAAGTTTCTTTTGCAAATGAAGAGCTGGAAGTGTCTTTGGTGCTCTTGTGAGTGGCAGGATGGAGATGACATCACTATTTATAAAGAGAAATTAAACTAATTCCTAGCCCTGTAGGAAATGTAAAGGAAGAGGCCAAACCAGCTAGGTTGTGTCTGTGGTTTAAAAACACCATCCTCCTGGGACTAGGGAGTTTATCCTGGGAGCTCCTTTTTCTCCCCCTCGGATTTTATTTGAAATTCAAAAGATAAAAAAAGATTAACTGTAGCTTTTCAAGTTTGAGATCAATTACTTAGCACAGTCCTGTTCTCCAAACATACTGGAGAATACAGTATTACAGATGCCTAATTTAACTTTTTTTTTTTTTTAATTTCAGTGACCTCTTAAAAATAAGCAAACAAAAAAAGGCTGTGGAATTCATTACTCATCTCAGGATGTTCCTAAGGATCAGACTAATATATAGAACTTAGGCTGAGAAATTAATTTTGTAACCTAGCTTGTGGTCTACAAACTGAGCATTTCCACCAGTGATGGTCCCTGCTAAAGTCATCCTTTTTTTCATTTCCATGGCTGTACTGTGCTGTGTGAACTGTAGAGGGGAATAATAGATGAGTTTTGTAAGTGAAGTTGGCAGATCTGACAGCACCTGCGTGCAGTGGAGATCTGCTGGGCAAGAGCATGCTGGATTGAGCCATCTAAAATATTTTTAGACTCATGGTTTTCCAGGGAAATAGGACTTTTGTTTTTATTTACTAATTCTGTACATCTCTAAATATGTTTGTGGGTCTTTTTCTTTCTCTTAGCTAAGCTGGGACTTCCTACTACAAGATCCTGTCCAAGGCAAATGGTGGGCTTGGTCACAAATGACAGTTCTTCCTCTGCCATCTCAGGCTGGTGTGGGGTTTTACTTTGATGGATATTGTTGCCAGCTTTCATGCCTAAGTAACCTAATTCAAATCTTTTGGTAGGGTTATAATGCACTTGAAGCAAATAATTGTGTTCTGAGGCTGAAAATGGATGCCAGGGTACCCTTCCCCAGAGACAAACCCAGTGCTCTCTCTTGAATGGGTGCTGGGTTCTGAAGAACCAAATTTGGTTTGGTCTCAAAAGAGCCAAATTTGTTCCCCAAACAGCCCAAGATTTTAGTTCCAAATTCTGTTTCAGACCTTCCTGTGGCATTGCATGTTGTGATGCTGGATCAACTTTAAAATAATGTAGTTGGATGTGCAAGAGATGGCAAGAAAAAACACTTAAAACCTTAAGCTTTTAGTAACCCAGAAACTTGGACAATGTGTTCTTTGACAAAACAACCAATTAGTCAGGAAGTAGAAAATTATCCTGGGCTTGTTCAGGAGTCAGAGTGGAAGTAAAACATGGGAGAAGTCTGATGGAGGATGTGCACTGGCTGGGAGCACAAGAGCTTTTTACACAATACTCACAGAGTCTAGTGATCTTCCATTCCAAATCCTTTTAAATCTTCTCTCTTTAATTAAAAAAAAAAAAAAAAAAAAAAAGAAAGTCACTGAGGCAGCAAGACTGACATACTAGAAAATGCATTTCTGGGGAGAGTCATGAATGTTTAAACTGGCTGAAAGGCAGCCAGGCACAGTAACCAAGGGGGTTTGCAACACTGCAAACACAGGGTCTGTATAATTGACATAAGGGAAGAAATTCTGGGGAGAAACTTCCTTAAACTGCACCGTTTAGGGTTGCTGAAATTTTAGTCAGGAGAGCATTTATTCTTAAAAACTTCTTAATGCTTTGACACTTCATGTAAACACTGGGAAAACACAACTGTCAAACACGTATTTGCATTGTGTTCTTTGTAAGAATTACTAAATTTGCTTTGTTTATAACCAGAGCTTTAGAATCCATGTTGCTTTTCTCTTTGCTCTTGCTAACTCCCAGGATGTGCTTTAGCCTGGGCTGCAGAGCAGGGACAGACTGAGAGCCAGTGTTTGCCTCATGGAACTGATGGAAAGTGCAAACCACCAATACAAGCAGATCCAGTGTTCCTGCAGGACAGTTTGGGCACCAGCCTCCTTCTTCTTGTTGAAATTGTATTTTATTTATTGCCAACCCAGAGGGAATGCCATGCTCTCCAGCCTTTCCATGAGTGTGCCTTTCCCTCCTTGGCGGCAGCTCCGCCGTCCTGGCTGAGTCCCTGGGCTGCAGCTCGGGTCCACCTGCAGAATCCCACATTCTATGGGATATGAATCACAGCAGCAAAGAAACTGGGGCACTGCAGCTATTTCAGTGAAGCTGAAGGGTGCTGGGGAAGGCTTGTCCCTGTTCTGAATCTCCTCAACGTCGTGGCTGTTTCCTGTGGTGGTTTCTGACCAGTGAAAGCCGTGCAGGTAAAGGCAGGGCTCGCAAATCCAGGATTGTGGGGAGTCTGGGAGTCAGGAGATGTGCAAGGCTTTAGTGCTGGGGTGTGATGCAGGACAGGGCTGGCGTGGTGAGGACCCAGCATGGCACAAACTGGGTGGAGGAGGTAGAGCTGTGATTCTCTTTTGGAGAATGTGATGTCATTTCAGGCACAGATCCAGAATTTTGCTTAAACCAGCTCTGTCTCTGGGAAAATGACATTGCAGATGGTGAGTGTCATTTCAGTGTAATATAATTCTGTTATTAATTTAGTTAATTTTTCAACTGTAAATGAATGCAGTCTGAGTTAAGAATTTCAGATGATTTTGAGTGTGGATGTCACATTATGACTGCAAAGTACTTTCATGTTTCCTTTGACCAGTTTAGCCAGGAAAGCAGGAGTGCAACATTAGGGTGTCTCAAGTCACAAATCAGTTCAGTGTTTCACAGATATTGAGACATTGAGAATCCAGTGGTGGTTTCTGCCTTGTCTCAAATGAATACTTTGCTATTCATTATTTATGTACTATCTAATCTGTAACTTTTTATTTAAGACACCTGCCAAGAAATGCACCCTTTAAGATATTTTGTCTTCTGCAGTGCTCGGTTTTACAGGCAATTCAGTTTTGCGTATTTCTTACTGTTTGAACAGGAAAAACATTAAACTGTTCATGTGTCAATTTGTTATTTAAGTGTCAGCAGCCAGTTTTTAAAACTTTTTGCACTTGGTCTCTCTCTAGTCAGTCTTGCATCTTGACACCCATACCAGGAGGTGAAGGCAATTTCAAAATTATTTCATTAGAGACCCTCTGTAGCCCTGGCTCTGCTGGGGGTTGTACAGGTTTCAGGGAATGTGAAGCCAGATAAAAATCTAGAGGGAGATGTAAAACATTGATGTAAAAAATACCTTGAGGTCTGCAGCTGGTGTGCTGCTCTGAAGACCACCTGGTGAGTGTGGTGAATACCTTCCTGTTCTCAGGAGTCTGTAGTAGGTTCAATCCCAAGAGGATTTATATTCTTTCCAAAACTCTTATCTATCTTATACATTGTAGTTCAATAGCTGCAGTTATTTCTACTAATGTCTGTTTCTTTCTGAGACTGGATGGTGTGATTCTATCTGAAACAGAGCATTTTTTTCCTCAAATGATTGCATATGTGCTCACACAGTGCCTCTGTTGTTCCTTTTTTAACCTTCCTGTTAGGCTGGTAATGATTTCCCCTTAGACCATCTTTTCACCTTCTTTCCAGGAGCTAAAAATATGAGCTACACTCTGCACATCCCTGTTTCCTTTACCTTAATGCATTAATTTAGATTAAGCAATTGCTTGCCTTCGATTCTTCAACTTCTTTAATTACTGCACCAGTGTGATTTTGGCTCTTCTTTCATTCCTCACTCCACAGTGGAGGGGGCTCCATGTGTTCACTGATTTTCAGTTGCATCTCTGACCCGAGGGTCCTGCCTTGGCACAGATGGATTCTCTCCAGGAGCTCTCCAGCAGCTTCCTGCACGCTGACAAGTGGGCAGCTGTGCTCCTTGCACTGTCAGAGCTCTGGAGCCTGGAAGGTGACTTTGATTTCTCTCTGCTGATGGTTACATGTGCTGTGGTTCCAGATCTGGTTATTGAGTTTGTGCCTATCCTGTCTTTGGCACTTAGAGCTGGGTGTGGGGGTGCCTGGCAGGGGCTGCTCCCAAGAGATCTCTGAGCACAGGAGCCTTTGACTGAAATATTATGAGAACTGAACAGGCAGGAGTAATCCCAGACTCCAGTATTTGTTGTATGAAGTGTAAGAGTTTGCCAGAGGAAGTACCTTTTCAGCTTCTAACTATAGTGTTGCTTTGTAATTATTCATTTGGATGGAAAATTCCAGCCTTCTAAAGGTTATCCCAGATGCAACTTTGCCAGGAAATGCATTACATGGAAAATAATAAAACTCCTCTGAATACACAGTCTCCAGGTGAACCTGGATGCTGAGCATACTGTTGGAAACAGTCTGAGCCTTGTGAAATATGTGTCCCAGTGTTACAGGGCTGGGGCTCTGAGTGGCCAGGATTTCTCTTTGTGTGGGGAAGGGGAAGTTCCATACAAGGAGCTGGGATTTTAAATAGTGAATATCTGCACAAGGCACAGGTCAGTCATATTTTGCAGATTTCTCTGCCCTGTGCTCCTCTCTGAATCCTCATGAATTGTATTTCTTATCTGTTCCCCCCTGGTTTGTTGATACTTTTAACGTGAAGGAAAACTATTTTGATATTTCTCTGTCAGTTATTTTGACATTAATCAACACTGCAGATCTTGTTTTGTTTGGTGTCTGGGTACATCATAAAGAGAGTTGCTGAAAGAGTTCAATTACAATATCAGCATCTCTGCCAAATGTATTGAGCTGTTCTGAAAAGCGGCTTGTCTTTTCTGACCCAGATACACAGTTTCCAACTGTGGGAGATGCTGCCAGAAAGACTCTTGGCAGAAGGCCAGCAATAAAATTATACTGCAGAAAAACACAACATATTTTCAGCAGCACTTTGTGTGGTGTGATGAAAAATTACCTGTCTCCTGAATGCAAAGCAGAGGCTAAAATAAACTTCCAAACTGAAGTTGCAAACCTCTCACTCTGACTTTTGAAGGTAACAAAAACCGGTATAAATTCCAGTTATTTTCTGTTATTGCGTGTGATACACCTCGGGCTGTGTTAGATACTCATTGCTTTGTTATTAGCAACCTCTATTGTTCTTGCTGCCCTGTCAGTATAAACTCTGTCTGTTCTCAGGGTGCTGCACACTGCAAAGTGCAGTTTCCCATGGCAGACACTGGTGTCGGGGTAGATTTGGAAGGTGGAGGGTGTTTTAATGCTTCAGCTGAATATTGTTAGCGTGTGCCTTCTTGATGGAGCATTTTAAACCAATTTTCATGGTGTTCTACTTGGCCTGGCCAGGAGCCTGGAGAGCAGCTCACTGAAGTGAGGGGTTTGGAGCTCTGGTGCCCAGTGACCCCAATCTCCTCTGTGGCACCAGTAACCCTTCTGTGCAAGGGGATGCTGGAGTGCCAGACACAGTTCATGTCTCCTTTCTGGAGGCTCAGAGCACTCTAATTCTGGTATTTCAGTTTCCATGGAATGCAAGTACCTGTTTCTCCTCCCTTTTCACCTCCCTGTTCACAGGCACTGGGAAGTAGCTGAGCATATTCATCACCCCTGGCTGTTTAACTGTCTGTCCCCTGGGAATGCAGCTGCAGATGCAGGAATATCTCCTACTACAAAAGCCTCATCTGAAATTCTTTTTGCTTGTCTTGAGCCAAAGCATAAACTTCCTCTGTGAAGGATGGGATGTTTAATGGAAACGTTGCTCCACTGTCATGGTGTTTTAATAACATTTCTAATGTGTCAAATCCCCAGTGATTTTAAACCACACTGCAGACTCTGCGCGGCTCCACTGTGACCTGGTTTGGAGACAGAGATTATTTACTCTGGTTTTACACTTTAGGGGCACATGATGCAGAGCAGTAGTGACTTTTTCAAGGTCACCAAGGTCTCAGTGGTGCAAGGAGCTTCCTGTACAAGTCTCCTTGCAAGTGAGGGTGGCTGCCCCTAGGTAAAACAGCCACACAATTAAATATTGTGCTTTTTAGTCCGAGCATCAACTGTTACTTCCCTGAGGATGCAAGAGCAAATATGCTGCTATAGTCTGGTTGTGGAATGAGGCTGTTGGATTTATGGAATTGCTGTTCACTTCACATAATGCTTTCTGATGTATTTGGTGCTGAGCTATGTTATGCTGCCTTAGTCCATATGGTTGGAGCAGATTTGATTTTGGTTTTCCTTAATTTAATTCTGTGTGCTGTCAAATGTACTTTATTCTGTATATTGTGTCTGTACTTTTATAGTAAACTCCCTCCTGTTTAATGCTTTTGTTGAAAATGTTTTCTCAAAGTCTGAACTAAATTAGGGTTTCACTCCTATGCGTGTTTCTGAAATATTCGTAGGATGTTAATGACTTGGAAGACATCGTGCATCAGCTTTGACTCAATTTTCAGGATTTTTTTCCAACTCTCTGAATTTTATAATAAAGATCCTTTTGTAATTAATCCGTCTGTGCCCTGACTTCAGCCACACACTGCTGAAAAAAAGAGGAGGTAAAAAGCTCATAAATACCTCCATCCAACAACCTCTGCTTGTCTTTAAAACAAGAAAGCAGGTCACTGCTTCAAGCACCTAGGGCAGAGTATGGAGAGGTGTTGGTGTTTTCATCAGCCCAGCAGAGATTCACCCCCATTGTGGCTGTGACACATTCATTTCCAGCCTGTTTGGGATTTTTCAGGACCCTGAGAAGCACCCAGCACAGGCAGGGCTGCCCCTGAGGAGTGAGTGTTTGCAGCCTTGCCCTCTGGACAGCAGCTGCTCAGCACTTAGTGAGCACCAGAACTTGCTCAGCCACCTATCTTGGCCATCTGCTTGCCACAGCCTGGGTGAGCTGATAAGCAACAGCTTGCAGGAGTCTTGGGAGGGAGGCTGGAGACATTGTACTGGGCATATGCTGAAGTCAGCAACACATTCCAGTGTCCTTCTCTCTGCCTGGAACTGCCAAGTTACAGCTACCACAGAAGATAACAAACCAAAAATGTGAAATGTGGGAGTGACAGGGAAGAAGAGTAGGTGAAGATAGCTGGAATTCAGTTTGGAGAGAGAAATAATTTCAAACAGATGATCTAGAAATGTGTCTCATAAAAGTCTCTCTAGTTTGCTATTTGCTGACTCAAGTTAATATTATTACAAAGCAAAACGACCTTGTAAAGAGTCTGGCTGGTTCTGGAGATGGTGAAAGGCTGTTGAGTGTGGAGGAGCTATGACTAGTTCACAAAATAAATACTGCCAAAGCAGTGATCTTTGCTTAGTTTTCCTCCCAGCTGCCCCTGTCTGACTTCCAGGATCTCTTAAGAACACCCCCTTTGCTGATTGCTTCTGGGAAGCAGTTTGGTAGTGTTCATAAGCCTTGGTGGGCACAGAGCCTCTGTGATGAGAAGTGGGTCAGTCAGCGTTTTCATTAGCTTGCTTTTCCCAAGTATTTTTAGTATGACTGCACTTAACTCTCTTGGGGTTTCTTCCTTGGCAATTTTCAGCTGCTGGAACAGACAGGTCCCTGCACAGTGTTCTTGTCTGGCTTTTTGTTATACCCAGTTCTGCACCCTCAGTTCAGTGATGTGACTTACAAACAGCTATCAACTATCAGGCCCTTGCTGCCAAAGCTACTGGTCCTGTAAACCTCCTTTATTTGTTCCTAACCAGGGAAATAGGGAGGCAGGATCTGCTGTTACCTTTTCTGTCACATTCAAATCTCTGTGGGATGCAACATTTTAATTATTCCCTGTCACATCACAGGTTTAAGTATCTCCTCAGCTTTCATGTCATCTCACCTATCCCTCTGCTGTTGCCAAACATGCTTTTAATTTCTAACAATGTCAGGCTTCTCTGACACACAATATGCAAAGTGTTGCTGGAGAAGGGGTTCAGCATACAGAAGAAAAGAAAACTGTGTGTGTGTGTGTGTGTGTGTGTCTCAATCTGCAGAAATTTACTGACTGGGTTTCCAGTTGCTTCAAAATGTTGCTGGAGAGCTGATGCAACAATATGTGTAGAGAAAGGAAAACAGGAATTTTCTGCAAGGACAGGAGTGTTTTGCTGTGCAGTGAGCTTATGCTTCCCTCTCTCAAATTACCTGCTCTGTTCATCTGCTCTTCTCTCTCACAGAGCATTTCTTTGCAGTTTTGTGGTGCCAGTGCTGGTGTTGTTTCCCAGTTTAGTACAAGAAGGCTGCTCTTGCAGGATCTTTTCCATGCTGAGTGCTGGGAAAGGGAGTGCATGGGCAGCACAGGCGGTGTGGGTGATTTCAGCTCCTCACAAGTCTGACGTCTGCAGTTTGTTAGAATGTGCTTGTCTGCCTTTAAATAACAACTTGCAGTTATTGCAACCTAAGGCCTTGGTTCTTGTGCAGGATTGAGGGCTGCACTGAGGATTTCCACAGAGAATTACCTTCTGGTAATTAAATGTAGTGGATTTAATTCCTAACATGCGTGCGACACAAAAATAGAGACTTTGTGAGCTGGTTTCACATGGAGCATGTTTGCCATGTTGGATTTCCTGTCTTCCTCATCCCAGAAGCTGGGATTGCCAGGTGCCTGCCAAATGTCCCTGGGATCAGCTCTAACTGGCACGGGAAAGCCGTTACATGTGTGTGGGCACATCACAAAAAAGTTGCTTTCCACAGTGACATCTGTTTGCTCAGATATAAATGGATCAGTGACTGTCCCATCTGGAAGCTGGGGTGCTCTGAGCAGTGGTTTGCCTCATGTGCTGCATCCAGCACTTCTGGAATCAACCACCATCACTGCTGATTTCAAGTTGTTTCTCTCTTTTTGCAGGTGAATTAGAGAAAGTGACTCGCAGAGCACCTTGGCTGTATGAACTCTTGAGCTGTCAAGGGACTGAGAGGCTTATGAAGAGGTTCTGTCAGGCAAAACAGTGCTTAGCAAAGACACCAAGGAGGAGGGAAAAGGAGAAAGGGAGGGAGAGAGAGCTGAAACACTAACAAACCATGGTAGGTATTTGTTGTCTTTCACAGGGGTGCATTAAAAGTGTTTTCTGCTGCCAGGCTTGCATGGGGCCTGATCAAACCCGAGAGAGGGGATTTTCTGACCTTGCACTAACTGAGGGATGGTACTGTGTGCTTTGAGCAGAGCAAGTGGGGTTTGATGTATTGTCAGCCTCTTAAAGCCAAAGAGTGTTCTTGTGAGCCTGCAGTACATGAATTATTAAATACGAACGAAGGGGATGCTCATAAGGTTTTCTAATAAAACTGGCATTAGCAGGCTGTAGCAAACAGCACCAGTGACCTTGAACTCGCAAATTTCATTACCAAATGCTCACGTTCCCTTTCCACCTCTACCTCACAAAAGCAAGTTTTGATCATTCACGTGTGTGTGTGATTGCAGGTGCCTCTGTACACACTTTGTGGCAGTGCAGATGAAATGTGTGTACCAAGTGTGCTGGGTATGGTTTAAGTGAGGAGTCACTCCTCATTTGCCTGGGTTTGGCTGCAAATAGAATAGGAATAAACCTACTCAGTTGCTGAACAATATGAGTGGAGAGCAGTTTAAATATATTTATATATTTTTAAGCCCTCTAAGGTTATTACTGAGAGAATGGAAATGAGAATAAATGCAATAAATTTTAAACACAGTTGCTAGCATTTGTGTGGCTGGTTGCTGCAGGTAGGCTGTGTGTTTATATTTAAGAAAAAGACCTAAACCAAGACTTCTACCAGTTACAGAGGGAAAGGGAGAAAGAACTCTTTGCAAAGCAGAGTTGTTAATATATTTTAAATAGCGTCCCACTCTGTCATTCTTTTTGGCCTGAACTGTGATGAGGAGTTGATCTTGTCAGCCCTTCTTCATTAGAAAACAAAACATGTCTCATCATTAGGAATTACCAGTTTGTTTCTGCTCCAGTGCTGTGACATTTTGGAAGGCAGAAGATGGTGGGTGAGTTGTAAATGCAGCTCGGCCGTTTCCCGCAGCCCGGCTGTATCCATGTTGTGGATAACCACAAGAGGGACCTCCTGGAAGCACTCTGCAGCCTATCAAACTGCAGGGGATAAAACCAGCCCCTGACAGATGAATTGTTACTGCCCAAATTATCCATCTGGGTAGGAACACAAAAATTAGGAAGGGAATGATGTCATGACCTTCAATGGAAGAGACTCAGGGAGTGCAGTAAACCAGGAGATCATGGATGGTTCCTTAATAAGGATCCAGCCTGGAGGCCTGTGAGGTTGTTCAGAGGCCCTTTGTGTCCCTAGGAGTGGGTACAGCTACAAACCCATGAAGAAGGGGTGAAAATGACACCTAATTAAGGTGCTTAACGTGTAGGAGGAACAGAGGGCTTTGGTTGGTGATTGTGTTCTGGGAGGCTTTCAGCAGTGGCTGATGTGTCTTAGAGACCAAGACTTATTGCTGCCCCTGCCACAGGTCTGTGCTGTGATCACAGCTGGTCTGGGGCACTGTTTAGATCAAAAATGTCTCACCTGAATCGTCTGCAGCAAACCCAAAACTTCCTAGCACAGGTTACCCAACTAGTGAAGTTTACCTCCCTCAGCAGTATCACTCAGGACTCTGAACTTCACTGCAGGCTTTTTTAATTAGCACTCTAATATCTTCCTATTCATTTGAATGTTTTTAAAAAAGAAATTTCAGCCTCTTACGGTGTATGTTTATTCTCATCTTCATTCATGCCTTTGCAAATCCCTGCACAGTGGCTGAGCCTCTCACAGTTCTGTACTGCCTGTGACTTCATCTGCAGCAGCAGCAAAGCTGTGAGGGATTGGCTCTTTGACTGCCTGTTCCCTGGTGTGTGCTGCTCTGGTTCCTGCCATAAACAGAGGAGGGGTGGCTGCTGTATTCAGCACTTCCAGAATATGCAAAATTGCATTTGGAAAATATCAATGCCTTTTACAGAACAGGAGTCCTCTCTCCTGCCCTCCTTTCCTCAGGCTATGCCCAGTCTGCAGCCTCCCTGCCAGGCAGGATTCCCGTTCAGGCAATGTCCTATCAATGCTCCAGTAACTTTCTTCTCTTTCCTCCTGTTTCCCACTCCGCAACAGAGATCGATCCGATCTTTTGCTAACGATGACCGCCACGTAATGGTGAAACATTCAACCATTTATCCATCTCCAGAGGAGCTTGAAGCTGTCCAGAACATGGTCTCAACAGTAGAATGTGCCCTTAAGCATGTCTCTGACTGGATGGATGAAAAGAACAAGTCTGCAAAGTGTGAGGGTGATGTGGAAGCCAAGGAGGAAGCTGCAGAAGGCTCTGCCAAGTGAGTGAAGCTCAGCTCACAACGTGTCCCTGTGCTGCCCTCAATGGCTCCTTTCCTCCAAATAAGAGTGGTAGTGTTACCTGGGTCTGCTGCAGATGAATGTTCATAGAAGGAGGGGGATATATTTGGACTTCTTGATGTGGGAGCACGTGGGGGGAGTGCAGGGAATGGCAATAAGCCCAGTGTGGGCAGCAGTTGCTCTCTATTTCTTTGCTTATTTTACTGTGATGTTGTGAAGTTGCATTTAGCAGACAAACCTTTCAGCAGTTTTAAGCAAATACAATTCCCTGGAACACACCACTGCAAATCGACAGCCATGTGCCTGGGGGCTCCTGCAGTCTGATACAAAAAAAAGTTTTGATAATCCAGCAAACAGTTTCCTAAGCCTCCATTACTTCCCATTATTGCCATGGTTTAACCCCAGCTGGCAACTCAGCCCCACACAGATGCTGATTTTTTATAAAAAAATAATCCCAAGTGTGCAGTAAATGCTTTGCAGACAACTGGATGAGAAAAGAGCTGGTGCTGGCCTGTCAAAGAAGCATTTCTTGCATTTTACTCCAGGCTTTTAAACAGTCCTAGTCTATAAAACTGGCTTTTGTCACAGTCTTTTTTCTCAGCACTCAAAAATTAAGTGTCCCTATGTTGCTTTGAAAATTCTTTACTGTGACTCTGAAAGGTTCCCCTAAACTGTAGCTGGAGAGCAAAATCCCCTTTAATTACCCTAAACTGTTTCATTTCCAGGGATCAAGGTGGTCGGACGTTGTGTGGCGTTATGAGAATTGGCTTGGTTGCAAAGGGCTTGCTGATCAAAGATGACATGGATCTGGAGCTGGTTCTCATGTGCAAAGAAAAACCCACAAAAACCTTGTTATGTATCGTTAAAGACAATCTCCCAGCTCAAATTCAGGTGAGTTCATTTGCAGCAGTCCTCCCACAATGGCTGATAGCACTGCAAGGGCTGTTTGGGGAAAGGCTGGAATTTGTTCCAACAAGAAAGACAAGTGATGTAAAGGAATATACTCTGAATCTAGGAGGGCATCTGGGGCATGTGACATGTTTAGTGTGGTGACATGAAGTCCTTACTCACAAATGTAACCTCTTCCTGCTGTTGTTGCCCTACTCCTGTTTGTGCTGTCAGTTCCCGGAGGGCAGCTGACCTCTGTGTGTGCAACTAACCCAGGGTGGGTTTGGGTGCTCTGGGCCACCCAACATCAGCTGAACTGCAGAAATCTTTCCTGCTCAAGTGTGTCCCTGAGTCCCTGTTGTTGTCCCCTGCCTGAACCTGCAGTTCCCCATTGCAGCTGCTTTGCTTGGGCTGTTCCCACATAAACCCCTCTGTGCTGCCAAGGTGAGAACATGTCACTTTAGGTGGTCACTCATTTGGGCTCATGTTAATCATGACCTCACTTTTTTTTTTATTTATGGCTACTTAATTCCAATGCTGTTATCCAGTGGGCAGCAGTTGCAGCTTGTTTAGGGATACTTCTGAGGCTGAGCAATCAGTCCAGCTTCCAGACTCACCAACACTGGTGCCAAGGAACTGCCCTCAAATGTTCCACTGCAAGTGCCCCTCTACAAACCACAACCAAAAAAATCTGCTTTTCTTCTGATCAGCTTTTCTCCCCCCGTTTTACCATTTTTGACAGCTGTTAGTTCTCACCATTAATTTTGTCACACAAAGGGCTTGTTTTAATGGGCTAATGTTGTTCCTGGAGATGTGGCCCTATCCATAGCTAAAAATGCAAAGGATCTTTTGAGTAGTAAAGAGTAAATTTTACTTGTTTGAAAATGATAGAGATGTATTGAGTATTAAAGAATAAACCTTGTAGTGAGGCATGAAATGAGGAGGGCTGAAAGTGAGAAGAAAAATTAATTATGTGCTTCAAAAAAAGTGAGATAAAATTAAAGAATAGACATAATTAAAATATGTGAAGACTGAATAAATTCAAGGGACAGGCAGGTAAGATCCTGTGGGGAAGGACTGTGAGGGATTACAGAAAAGATGAGGGAAGAAGACTCTGACTTGTGAAATGCACCAACTGTTGTGGGCATGGAAGACAAGGAGAGGCTCTGCAGAGGGATCAGATGCTGTAGGTGAAGGAAGGTTTAGTGGACAAAAGGAACAAGCGAGGCTCAGACACTCAGGAGCTTCTGCTCTGCTGATTGAAGGCTCATGGTGAGCAGGTGCTCAGCCATTTTCATCCCAGCAATAAAGGAGCTGCAGAGCAGACTGCAGCAGGGAAGGGCTCGGAGCAGACATCCTGACCACGGGTGTGCTGAGCAGGCTCTGCACAGAAGGGGTGCCTGGAGGCCTCTGAGCCCTCTGTGCCTGCCCTTGTGCTTCTGGAGGGTGAGAGAGGTCCCACAGGGTGGCTGAAAGGCCTGCAGAGAGATCACTGCAGAGAACTCTGACACGGTGCATGTTAATGGAGCAAACTGTAAGGCAGTTGTAGCATTGGCTACAAAAGAAATGTTTTAAATTGTTTTTAATGAGGGAGGCAAGGCTGCCTTTGTTACTGCAATGCCCTGTAGCCTTCTCATTAGCTGAGGCACATACACAGATTCTTCACTTTTTCAGTCGATTGGGAGAGTCTTGAAATCTTTCTTGGTGACTTTCAGAAACTTACAGAAGAAAAGTATCTGGTGGAGGAGCATGTAAATGAGGCAGCTATTGTTATCCATAACACAAAGGAGCCCAAGCTCACTTTGAAGGTGATACTCACATCCCCTCTCATCCGAGATGAAGCAGAGAAGAAGGAAGGAGGTACACAGAGCGTTTTAACTTGGTTTTAAGACTGTTCTAGCTAAATGTCCTGACTGTGCAGCACAGGGTTAATTGGCAAGCAGGTTTTTAATTGTGCATCATGTATTGACTAGACTGGCTATTGCCACCATGAGTTACATTATGTGTGCCTTAAAAAGACAGCAGTCACTTAAATTTCATGTAAATATGTGTCGTTTTCCTTTCAAGCAATATTCCTGCAGTGTTAACTCTGATATACAATTAGATTTTAGTTCTCCTTTCTTTCAGACTTGCTATTTAATTCTTAAGCACCTGGCGCTGCACAGTCTTGTTTGCAAATTAAGTCAGTCAAGTGGGATTGGTTCATAGTTTCTTGAAAAACTCATAAAAATGTTTCTCTTTATGTAAAAGCCCTCTCCTGCAAAGCTCGCCAGTGTGTCGTCCTGGCCCTCAGTTTTTGTTGATTGATGACATGTATGTTTCTGGCTTGAAGAATTTCCTAACTGGGATACAATTGAAGTTACGGTGCTGTGATACAGCACTTTTGCTTCTGAATTGAACGTTGTACCTCATGTCCTTAGAGCAAAATAGTTCTAGAAAACTGTCACTTAGTCCTTTCCACTCCTTCTCCCTCACCGCGGCGTCCTACACAGTGCTGTGCCCGTGCTGCAGGAATGGTGCCTGTGGTACCAGTGAGGCTGGAAACAGGCTGTGAGCAATAGAGAAGAGCAAATGTAGCCACACTTGGTTGTATTTTTTAAATCTTTTCAGTAATTTCTGCTTCCGCTTCCCAAACCTATCCCTAGAAACTTTGTCACTGGATGATGTCAGACCTTTGACCAACTGGCCACTCTCTGTCATGACAACTGAGGCAGCTGGGCCCGTGTGGGCTAGGGAACTCCCTGTCGCTCTCTTCCCATTTCTAGACTTGCCACGAGTCCTTTGCTTCCTCCCTCTCCCACATGGAATACCCACGGGGTGAGAAATGTTGGTCAGTTTCTCCTCATTTTGTTGGAGGCGACGGCAGGAAGGATCCCTTTCCAAGTGACATGTACCACTTTGGCAGCAGTTGAATGTAGAAAAATCTTACAGAACAGATGAATGGCAAAGATCCCTTCATTACACTGGCTGTTTATTCTGAAATTAGCAACAATGCTGTTTCCAAGACCATTAAAAATAAACTGCATGTTGCTTTAGTTGTTCAGCTTCCCACAAGATGCTGAGACCAGCCCTGGAGCTGCTGCAGCTCATCCATGTTCATGAGAGAGTCCGAAGGGTAGGACGAATTCCGATGGTGAAGGATTTGTGAGATTCCCACCAGGGGATATGGTTTTACACAGAGGCTTCTGCCCAAGTATTTTCTTGTAAAAATTGATGCTTAATGCCAGCAAAGTCCAGGAATTTTTGAATTCTTCTCAAACTAAAGGAGGGTTGGAATTTTTATGCTTTCTCATGCTTAAAACGTAGGTGGTCTCTTTTTTTTCGGTATCTTAAAATATTTTCAAAGGTCTCTACTATATTTTTAAAATTTAATATGGTGTTACCACTTCTCCTGAAGTGGTGATACACTGTCATTCCGTGAAGCTGCTGAGAACAGGGAATAGGGTCACGGATCTCATTTTCCAGTCCAGGTTCCTTGGCATTGATTCATCACAAAGAACAGAGACATTTATCATATTCCTTTTCAAGGTATATGGAGCATGATGCAGATGTCACTAAGTAAGTTGGGAGGGATACATTTTTTTTGTAATCTTTCCAACTATTCAGATTGGAATAACTTAGATTCAGACCAAAAAAGTTTCATGTCTAGTGAATAGGGAGAATAATTGGAGAAAACTGCTGAAAACACCTTGATCTCCAAAGCACTGGTGTATTTTTTCACTACCACTGAACAGTGTCAACCAAATGTAAATAGACTTCCTATGCAGTTTTAAAAACCTGTCAGGTGGCTCCATGCATTCTTTTGACTGAAGGAGCTCAAAGTGCTGCTGAACTTGCCTTTCATCTTCCATGTAAGATAGGCCCAGACTGCCCGAGCCTGTGGAAAACTGACCAAGGTTTCTGTGGTGGGATTAGCACTAATCTGTCCTCTAACAACCCAGGTCAGGCCAACGGCCCTCGTTACCAGTGCTCCCATTGTTCTGTAGGAATGCTGTGTGTGCCTTCATGCCCTGATGTCAGAATGTACCGAAAAACATTCCTGGATTTCTCTTCAGTCCCCACCTCTTTGGAAAAGTGTTCATGTTTAAGATGTGGTGTTTGTCCTATTTGTTTTTGCTGCTCCTTAGCAAAAATAAATAGTGGCCCAGTGTGTGTGTGCATTTTGGTGTTTCTCACAAACAGCTACCCATAAAGCTCTGCTTTCTCATGTTGAGAAGTCAAGCACCTAAATTTGCCTGCATTTTGCATCAGTTTAAATTTTAAACTTCTTAAGAAACTGAATTTTTAGTCACAGCATCAAATATAAATTGGGCTTTCCAGACCAGAACCTTGTATCCTGAAAACCAGTTGCTGTCACTGAGCATACAGTAACAAATTCTGTAATTACAAACAAGCTGGTTCACCAAAGGGGCTGAAGCTCCTGGAGCAGGACACGGCCAGTGATGCTCCCAAGGGGCCAAGTGCCTCTGGAGGGGCAGCAAGCCCCAGCCTGCCCTCCCCTCTCTGGAGAAGACAAGGCTCCTCGTACAGCTCAAATGAATGGAGTTGGCAGCTCCTGTGTGAAGAGAATGCTGCAGCAGTGGGGAGAGAATTCCTGAGGGATTGGTTCTGCGTTGCATAGTGTGAGCTAACGTCAGGGCTTTAGAATTTACTCTTTACTAAACTCCTTGGATCACTGCCCTTGTTAAAACTACAAGGAAAAAAGGAAAGCTTTGCATTCCCATTGGAAAATTTTGATTTGGTCTCACTTTCCTGACTGGCAGAGCATGAAGAAACATGCCATTCTCCCGAGGGGGTCTGAAGGGAGCCCGCTGCAAGCCGCTCGCCCTCTTCACTGCCTGTTCTCTTCATCTTGCTGTTTAATAGAATCTTGCACCCAAAAGTTGGCAGACTGCAACATCAGGACACTGGGGCTGAACAAGCAATTGGCAAAATTCTCCAAGATATTTGTAAATTAGGCCTTGGAAAATGGTCTTAATCCTGTAAGAAAATGTATGGTTCTAAATTGTTGAAACATATCTCAGGAGGCTTTTGGTTCACCTGAATGACAGGTGACATGTATTCTGTTTGTAGTTTAAATGAAAAATTAATTTACTTTATCAATGGCTGCAGCACTCTTTAGCAAAGCCTCATATAACACTGAACCCCAGTTCATTGCAAAAACAAATAATGATTTTGCAGTCAGTCACCTTTGCCATTTCTAACGTTTTAAAATAAGATTCTGATCATTCATTGACAGTACTTGTTTGATACAATACTTGAGCTTTAAGCAGATGTTTCTATTGTCTGCAGCGAAGTTTTCTCAGAGAACTACCCAGATGGATGTTGAGTAATCCTGTGCCACAAATGTCACTCCTGAAAGCAACTAAACTGCAAAGGAAATTTAGAAGCAAATCTTGTGTTCCAAAGTGACCTTTTGTGCTCAAAGAAAGCCAGAGCTTTGAGACTTTGCAGCTTTCATTTGGACACTGATTTGCAAAGCAGACAAGAGGAGTGATTAATCCCAATCCTGGAATGCTGTTGATGAAGGCAGTAACAAACAATGCAAATATCTGCTGTGAAGTTCACAGGGGTTAGAAAATAAGCTTATAGCACTTGAGTCAGCAGCTGTGAACTGCAACCATCACCTGTCAGACAAGATACTGGTTCTGTTCAGTTTTACACTGGTAGGTTTTTTTTGTTTTTTTTTTTTGCTTTGGGCTTTTTTATTCATCATAACCATCAAGTGCTTTTATCAGAGTAACCTTCCCAGGAAATGGCTGAGGAGAGGCAGCCTTAACATTCAAGATGCAATTGCTTATGCAGCCAATCCCATTCAAAGGAACCCATGAAAAAGTCCTTGGAGATGGCACTAACAAACTGATAGTACCTTTTCCTTGTAACTTGTCCTGGTATTTAGATGTCTTGCTCATCTAGCAGAGTTTTCAGTTTGGAATGGATTTAGTATTTCATTCATGTCTGAAAAAGGTCTCTGAAGACCTGGAGAATTAACCATTATAAATAATGAAAAGAGTGCATTTCCAAATTATTTATTTTTAAGTAAAGAGTAACTATGTATTCATAGGAAAATGTCATATTCAAGTTTTTAGTTAAGCCATGGATTCATTTCGTTATTCCAATTGTTCTCAACATCAGCTAAAACTAGAATATGATTTCACAGAAATGTAGAAACTGTCCTTTTTATAGAGTTTCCAGAGAATCTGGATATTACAAACTCCTTTGGATTAAAGTAAAATAAATACAGAAGAATGGACTGATAGAAAATTCCCCTTAACACAGAACTGGATGTGGCTGCTAAAAGCAGTTTGTTACAAGTTGGTTGATAAAGGGGAGGGGAAGACAAAAAAAGTGTAAACCTGGACAGAAAGTATCAGTGTCTTGTCTCTCAAATCCATCTTTGAATTTCCTCTGTTGGTTTCAGTTGCTGTTGGGAAGCTTTTATACGAGGGCACTTCCTCTCAAATACATTAATGACCTGGAAGTTACCAAAGCCACTCTTTCATATGCTCTGGTTATATGAAAGACTAAACAAACTGAAGTATCATACTAGCATTTCCTGTATATTTCTTTCATTGAATTATACTGGCTAGTACTGTTCATGCAGTAGCATTTCAAATATATTCAATGTTTTTCTTTGGAATTCTCAACAATTGCATGGATGTAATTTAACTTTCTACCTATTACATTTTTTTTATTACCCCCTGAGAATATCTTCCTCTTGTCCAAAGAAGCTTTGAAATTCTGTGCCACCTTTGTGGAATAAAAGTCACAAAGAAGAAGAGGAAAATAAAGCCCAATACATCCCAACAGAAAAAAAAAAGAAAAAAAAGAAAAGTGCTATAGAGCTATTTTCTGCCCTGAAATGTGTTCTACATTTTTAATAAGATCCCAGATTGTCTGTAGCAGTGGCCATCTTTATTATTACTATTATTTTACAAGGAGTGAATGCCTTTGCTTCTGTTGCACACGTGCACATTTACTACCTTTAATGGCTCGTTTAAATTAAATAACACCGTGCACTTAAATTCTGGGAGTCTTATTATCTCATTGAGATGCTGCCGCTCTTTTTGTATTGTGACAGAAACCCCTTGGTCAAATTGTATCTGTCTCTTTTTATCCCATTTTTACCAGTAGATAATGTTGCGATGAAAGATCCTCCGGACTTATTGGACAGGCAGAAATGCCTGGAGGCCTTGGCGTCTCTGCGGCACGCCAAATGGTTTCAGGTTGGCTTTTTGTTCTTACCTTGTTGTTATTGTAGCCTTGCGAGGTTTTATTTGAGACAGTTTTAATTTTAATGCCTCTTTAATTTCTGACTAGTCCCTCCTAGAGCAAAGGTCTAGAATTCCAACCCAGTGCTGTACTGTGCGAGGGCAAACGTGACAGGGAGACAGTCAGCTGGTCCAGAGTTGTCATGAGGCTACAAAAGCAATCTTGACATTTCGCTGCCTTTTTTATACATCTCTCTAAATTCAAGTGTACTTTTATATAAGTGTTTTTATTTTGCATGAAGCTGATTAAGTATTAAGTAATAATAATTTAAAATCTATCCCAGGACTCTGTGCATTTAAAAAGAAAAGCAAAATTGAAGACCAGGCTTTTGCAGGTGTATTGGAATCATTTTGTTTGTTTTAGGCCAGGGCAAATGGACTAAAATCATGTGTAATTGTGCTTCGTATCCTGCGGGATTTGTGCAACAGAGTCCCCACATGGGCGCCGCTGAAAGGCTGGGTAAGTACAGAAGGAGCTGAAGGGCACAGGCTCACGTCTCAGATCTCCTGAGAGTTGTAGCAGTGTCTAGACTGGAGAAAGCAGAGTCTTGTATGAGACTCCTCCTTCCACCCCCGTTCCTTTGCTCACCATTAACTGCTCCCTGTGTAGAGGAGAGAAGGCAAGTAGTCCTGGAGCCTGTGACACACTGATCCCATGGAAAGGGACACACTGATCCCATGGAAAGGGACACACATCCCGGAGGACTGGCAATAGACTCCTGCTTGTTGCCTTCCATCCCTCTTGTTTAGTATTCCAAAACTATCCTGCTCCCATGACAATGCCACTCCTGCCAGCGGCTGGCGCCCTTTCCTGGGCATGTTTGCTCTGCGTGCCTGGAGAGGAACACTCTGCAGGGCAGCAGAGGTGATGTTTCTCTTGTGTGGAACTGAAAGCCCTCTGAGAGGAGAACATTCATCTGGCTTGACTTTAGACACCTCTCCTGTTTGACTTTTTGGGCAGACAGTGGAGAGCAGCTGGTGTCCTCAAAAGGTGACTCAGACCAGGGGGACAAAGACGTGCCCTGCACGAGGACATGGCCTCCCCTGGGGCAGATCTCTGTCCCTTAGAGCTGTAGTGGATTACAAAGTGTCCTGATGTGAATGTTCACCCTCTCTGCCCCCCCATTTTTAACTTTCAGTCACAGTTACCCTTGTGTCCATACTAATCGTAATTTAATGTCTTCTAGCCACTCGAGCTTATATGTGAAAAATCTATAGGTACTTGTAATAGACCTTTGGGCGCTGGGGAAGCCTTGCGACGAGTGATGGAGTGTTTGGCATCTGGAATTCTGCTTCCTGGTAAGGGCCAAATGAACTCCAGGAACACAAAGGGATGGTCAGCCCATCTTAACATTTAGCTGTAGGGAGTACATGAGAAATGCCTGCTGTGAACTCTGAACCTGCCATGGAGTGAAATTAATGTTTTTTTCTTTAAAATATAAAATTAAAATAAAGGATTTTGCGTGGTGGTAACTGTGTGAATGCTATTGCCACTGCAGGAGTTAATGGGGAATATGAGATTTGTTATAAATTAACCCCTACCTCATTAAGGGGTTGCAGGTAAATAGACTTAATGATTATCTGGTTTCTACAGATTCCTTGAAATCTACGTATCTGTCCAAATGATGTGTTTTCTTCCAGACCTACTGATTTCAGTTAATGTTATCACCCATGAGCAGTGTTTACCCTGATAAGGTCTGTGGCCACTGCAAGGGTGTAAAACCTCGGGTCAGTTTGCACTGTGTGAGCCTGACTCCCTGCTGGAGAAGGGCCGCTGCCCTCTGTGCAGCAGCTGGGCTCAGCTGCTCTCAGTCCCTGTTTGCACACTGCTGCTCCTTCCCCTCAGTAATCCCCTTCTCTCCCTGCCAGGGGGCCCGGGCCTGCACGACCCCTGCGAGCGCGAGCCCACGGACGCTTTGTCTTACATGACAGTTCAGCAAAAAGAAGCCATTACACACAGTGCTCAGGTAGGGAACTCTGTGTGTGCTGCAAGTGAGGAATTCAGCTCATTAGCACCGTTTATTCTCTGCCAGGATGGCTTGTTTTCATGGCAGTCCTGATGGTTCTTGGGCTGCACTATCCTGGAAAGGTTCAATCACAGACCAGGAGTGCAAGAGTTAGATGTGTGTGAGATCTTATCCTTGCAGAGGCAGTGGGGTGCCTGTGCACCCACCTCAGCTCCCAGCAGAGCCCCTGGTGAGCTCCCTGTCAGTGTGCCCTGCACTCTGTGGTACAGAAATTCATGAGTTTTACTTTTTTAGACATTAGCATTTTCCACAGCTATTGCAGAGGCCAGCTGTAAAAACTGTCTTCTTGTCTGTGAAAACCACAGAAGTAGCTTTGTGTCTAAAGACTTACTAAAACACTTGAACAACTGAGGTGAAATCCTGCTGTGATTAATGTGTGTGTCTACTGTCCCTTTCAGCACGCTCTCAGATTATCAGCCTTTGGGCAGATCTATAAAGTTTTGGAAATGGATCCCCTCCCATCAAATAAGTCATTTCAGAAATATTCCTGGTCAGTAACTGACAAAGAAGGTAGGTATTATTTGTTCCAAAAGTCACTAATTGGGCAGTAAACTAGGAGTTAATTTAGAATGGGTGAAGTTCTGAATTATATGCTGTGAATGTGAAGTAGAAGCTATTCTTTGTTATATATGGGGTGATTTTTAAAATATTTCATTGTGAGAATAAAATCTGGAAGTTCTGGTCTCTAGAAATACCAAGAGATGAGAGGCACAAAAGCCATAATACAGCTGATGATTGTCTTTAAGCACAAAGTCCCTTGGCATCCAATGATTCTTATGCTGGCAAGGAGAGACTGCAGACGTGTCAAAAAGCATATAATGAGTGTCCATAATAAGAATTACTCAAAAATTATTCCTAAAAAACAATATATATCTAATTTAAAAAAATTCCATGTGTATTTTTTTGTAAAAACAATACTGTTGGAGGTCTTGCTTAGACAAAATGTGGAAAACAGCACTGCAGGTCTGCAGTCCTTATCCCACACCTGGTACTGGACACAGAGATCCTGCCTGGCTTGGTGGAGTGAGCAGTAAACCAGTATTGGCTTTCATGTAGCAATAAGAAAGCTGTGACTGATGGATGAGTTCTTTTCTCTATAAACAAGCAAGAAGCAGTGTGGGACTAATCAGACTCCTGCTGTGGGATCGTGTTTTCCTAATGGCATATCCATATTACAAGGAACTTTATACCCTAGGTACAGGCTCCTCTGCTCTGAAGAGACCGTTTGAAGACACTGTCGGGGATGATAAAGATCCAAATAAAAAGATGAAGCGTAATCTGAGGAAAAGTAAGTGCAGCACTTCTCCATTCTGTTTTCAAAGATCTATTGTACAGGGGGAGCTGCTTTAAAAGCTTCTCTGTGTTGGTGTGGTAGAGCATGTGAAAAAGTCTCTGGAACAAAATTGTTGTCTCTTATCACCCTGCATTCGGATTGTCAAACACATCTCTGTGCATCTGAATTTCCCTTGACATGCTTTACTAACTGAATGATTTGCATTTTTAAATGGGATTACCCATCAAGTTACACCAGAACTGAAGTTATCCAAGCAGCTGAGGTACTTTATTGGTAACATCCCTGTATTGTGGGGTCTTTTTAAAGTACTGCAGTGACTTTGCTGAGTGAAGATTGCACTCTCTTCATTCTTCCCCTTCCTGAGTTAGGTGCTGATCTCTCAAGATCTCCCACAAGGAAAACAAAATGTGTAGTCTGCAAAACATTAATGTTGCACATATGCACAGACTGGAAGTCTCTTGGCATTGCTGGGATCCAGTCATTCTGGGGGCTATTTTCATTGTGCTGCTTGGATGCCAGTTCTGGATCTGGTTCCCCATTAGCTATCAAACTTGTTACTCCTTTTACAGCAGGCAGGAGGAATACAGGCCAGCTGCAGCAGAATGTTGTTAATATAAAACCAGGTCATTATAGTTGTTACCCCGAATTAGAATGGCTTATTAAGGACTTAACAGTGTTATGGCTCTCCTCACCCTCTTGAGAGGCTGAGGGATGGTTTTGCTCCTTGATACAGACAGAAGGCACTGAAATGCAAACTGTTTCATTTTTCTGTTCATCTTGTTTTGTTCATTTTCCTTTCCCCTCCTTCCCCCACCCTTTCTACTATCTTGTACTAGTACTAGATAGTAAAGCAATAGATCTCATGAATGCTCTGATGAGGCTGAACCAAATCAGGCCAGGGCTTCAGTATAAGCTGCTGTCACAGTCTGGTCCAGTCCATGCCCCAGTCTTCACAATGTCTGTAGATGTTGATGGTACGACTTATGAAGCATCAGGACCTTCTAAGAAAACAGCCAAGCTCCATGTGGCAGTGAAGGTAAGGCAGCCTGAAATAATCTGCTAACCCCAGATCTTGGGGTGGAGTATGAAATGTGCTTAAAACTAGTAATATGCAAGCTCAGAATTAAAAAAAAAAACAAACAGGTGAGCTGCTGACTGTGTGCTCTGAAGACATCTGGGCATGGTTCAGAGAGCATCACTGGTTTTGTGCTGGGGGGGGGAAGAATTTCCTGGGGTTCTACAGGTCAGCTCATGTTCAGTGGGCTGAATGTGGTGGTGAAATTCTGGATGGGAGGGGTTTAGTTGTGTTCTGTTCTCCTTCCTCCTGTTGGTTTGCAAGTGCCATGTTGGTGGTTGCTTCTTTCTCCCCCTCCTTCTCTGTGTCCATTCCTGGCTTCCATTCCTGGAAATAGAGTTCTGTCCTTGGTGCTTGAAGAGTACCTCTGTGTACTGGGTAAACCATATCAAGGATTTATCCAGTTAAATTGCCCAGGGTGAGCATCCACCAGATGTGGTGCTTGGGGACACGGCTCAGTGGTGGGCATGGCAGGGCTGGGGTAATGGATGGTTGGACTCAATGATCTTAAAGGTCTTTCCCAGCCTAAACGAGTCTACAAAAGAACATCTGTTAATAGAACTGCTCTTCTGATAGGAACAGGCCCATCTGTCATTCTGTGCCTCATTTTGTTTTGAACAAGAATTTCCTTTTTAGAATCTTCATCTGGCAACTTTCTGCTTTCCTTTGATTTCAGTTTTGAAAATCCCATTGTCCTATGTGCTTTCAAGTTCAAAGTGTCCAGAAGCATCTGAGGGCATGTGTTATTCCTTCAGGAAAAGTAGCTCTCTGCATGTGTGTCCTTCCAGACCTTCTGCCTCATTCTTTTATTTTGCCTTCCTCCCTGCAGTTTAAAAAACAACAAAAAAAAAGCCCAAAAAACCCCCTTGCCCTGAAAAACTGTGACTGCTCTGCCCTTGAACCTCTCTGCGTCAGCCAGATCTGGGCTGGTGCCGACCCAGCTCTGTTTTCTCTAAATTTACACATCAAAACATCCGCGACTCAAGCCAAGAGGAAATGGGTGGTGTGGTCGAGAGTCGCTTTTTTTTTTCTCTCTCTTTCTTTCTTTCCCTTCTCAGCAGACCCAGACCCTGCCTTCCAGTCTTATAAGAGGGAATAATGTGAGATGACACTTTCTAATCTGATGTTTTTAAAATGCAGAAGCCCTGAAAACACAGCCAGATGTACCCCAAGTGCATGGCAGCTGAGCCAGGGGTTTACCCAGGCAGTTCTCAGCTCAGGGTTCAAACACAGTCATTTTTGCAGACTTTGTTCTTGGCCCTAAATTTTCAGCAGAGTTTCAGGTTCCTTTCAGTTTCCCTTGCCCTATGTGTGGTAGCTCTGTGCAGCTGGATCAGGAAGCTGGTTAAGGGAGAGGCTGGCCTTGCTCATGGAGGATGTTTTTGAAGGAACTGAGCTCCAGAAGTACCATCTTGTACAAGGCTTGAATTCTCACAAGACTGTTTGTCACGTTTGCCCCTCAGTCTGTCTCTTGATCTGTCCATAGGCACAGGAGGGAAATCATGCATGAAACTATGTCCTTATAAGGCCATTAAACAGTGTCTTTAATTTCTTACTTTACAAGGAATCCTTGAGATGATGAATGATGCTCATGAGCATCTTTGAGACTAAAATTCTGCTTTGTGTTGATTCCACGTTTGGAACCTGAAATTATTTTCCCCATTGATTTTGTATTCCCTACTGATAACCACTGAAATGGATATCTCCATTTCAAATAGGAGAAAACTAATATTCTAAGCAACCTGCCTTTTTAAAGTGTATGGTGGACTGTTTGTTGTATTGTGATCAGCTTTGTATTTGTTCCTGTTCTGCTGCCTCTGTCACAGTTCATTTCACGGGGCTTTGTTGTAGGTTTTACAAGCGATGGGGTATCCAACAGGTTTTGATGCGGATGTGGAGTGCGTAAGTTCTGATGAAAAATCAGATACTGAAGGTAAAAATGAAACAACGTCTTCAATCTCAAGCAATAATAATACTGGCAATTCCACAGCTGACACCTCCGCTACCCTAGAGGTGAGGATTGCATTCAAAGTACAAAAGATGGAGGTGTGGGGTTTGGGGTTTCACTTTTCATTGGGGTTTTTTTCTGTTCTACTTGTCGTAATGGTAAAACATAAATTTCTTCAGCTGGGCAACAATTTCCAGACAGTGTGTAATCATGGATAACTCAAACCACATACATGTTGAGTCCACTGAGAAATTTCCAGGGAAATGAAAGTGGAATATTTTTAATGGAACTGCCCCATTTTTATCCATAGCTGAGAGAATTCTATTGCAGACTGATCTGGTGTGCTGAGATCTCAGCTTCACCTTGCTTTCCAAACAGTTACAGACATTTCTACTAAGACACGTGACTCAGGGCATGAGATTTCTTCAGTCTGATCTGGGTAGTGCCCGGACATAACCAGGTGGAACAGCAGAGACGTGTGCAGGGCTGGGAAGGCCAGTCTCTCCTTTCCTTGTGAAAGCCTTCAATTTCAAGGAACCTGACACCATGGCCCCACCTTCAGCTTCAGATTCTCTCAGGGCTGCAATTCCAAGTGCAGCTGGTGTCATGTTTAGTTTGTGCAGGCACCAGATCAGGCCATGAGGACAGTAGCCCTCACCAACAGAAATAAATGGGTGTGACTTCTGTGACACCATTGTTTGTCCTCCTGCCCTTCTTTAGAGACTTGCCCTTTGCTGTGCCCGCATCGCAGGTTGCTGCAGCCAGGGCAGTGTTACAGCTGTGCAGAAGTTTGGCTGCATTTTGAAGAGAGAAAGGCTCTGAAGTAACACCCTGCATGTCTCTCTAGGTAAGAACTCAGGGTCCCATACTCACAGCAAGTGGCAAAAACCCAGTGATGGAGCTCAATGAAAAGAGGAGAGGTCTGAAGTACGAGCTCATCTCCGAAACAGGGGGAAGCCACGACAAGCGCTTTGTGATGGAGGTGAGTGGAGCAGAAGTGCAGCTGGTCAGGGCTTATTAATGGTGTAGCAGAGTCACTTGCTGCTGCAGCTCACATTTTTCTATTTTGCCTTTTGCAATGCACATTGGTGATTTCTCAGGTTATGTATCTCTTTGCTGCTGTGATGATTCAGCTGGCGAAAGGAATAGCCTTTCTACTTTAGGAAAATACAGTGAGAATTAAAACTGGATTTTGACCAAAACTGCATGACAAGGAAGACTCCAGGCTATGGGTTAAATCTATTATCCAACAGATGTGTTGGTCCTCTTTGAGCTGCAGTTGTAGTTTCCAGATTCCCAGTATCTGTGACACACTGGTTCCCAGGATAACCTTGGTATCCTTTAGCAGTTTCAAATCTAGAATCAATAGGAATTTGTCACATAAAACACTAAGGATGTTTTTTCCTACTGAAGTTCTTTATGGGTGGCACATCAGCTCAGTGGGTGCACCATGGTGCTCCTGTGGATCAACACTAGGCATAAACTCATGTCTTAATTTTCAGGTAGAAGTAGATGGGCAGAAGTTCAGAGGTGCAGGCCCAAACAAGAAAGTAGCAAAAGCAAGTGCTGCATTAGCAGCACTTGAAAAACTGTTTTCTGGGCCTAATGCAGCAAATAACAAGAAAAAGAAGATTCTTCCTCAGGTAAGAACTGTAACTTGCTTTTTGGACCATTATCCCAGGTCTGGGTTGGTTTTTGATACAGAAGGCAGCATTCTAGTAAAGTGAGGTTAACACAGGCTGGTGTTGTGAGCTGGTTGTCTGGGGGTGAAATCCTGGCCCTGCTGCAGTTACGTGGGTTCAGGAGGGTAAGGGAGATGTAAAGCCAGTGCTGTAGGTTGAGGAAAGGAAAATTGTAAAGATGGCAGAGAGAGGCTCGGAAGCCAGCAGTGTTCAATCATGCCCAAATCTGAGGTAAATAAGGCACAGTCTGAGGGAAGGGACTGCCAGGGCTGAGCACGGGGAACGTGCTGGGCTCTGCAGGCAGTGACAGGGCCAGGGACCTGCTGTGTCCCTGTCACTCACATCCTTTGGCACAGCACTCTCCAGTCTGTGCTCAGCCAGCCTGGCACATCAGGCATGTTTACAGAGCCCTCTCAAAGGGGATGATTTAATGCAGGTGGCCTTGTATTCCTGCAACACTCACTCTCTAAACTGCTATTTTTTGTCACTCTGGGCAGACTAAAGGGGTTGTCAATACAGCTGTTTCTGCAGCAGTCCAGGCTGTTCGAGGCAGAGGACGAGGTGCTTTAACACGAGGGGCGTTTGTTGGGGCAGCTGCTGCTACTGGATACATAACACCAGGTGAGGCACCACACCTGTAGCTGACAGCTTAGGATTTGTCTGCTGGGGTGTTCTTCTTCATGTGTGTTATTCACCTGTGCAAGTGATTCCTTTAACCATCTGACATGGAGCAGAAGGCTTCAAGGGGGTTTAAATAAATCAAAGAGCTGGAAAACTGGCAGAGTGTGTCCTTTATGAGTGTGCAGCTCAGAGCTCTGTGTGCACAGAGCACACAGTTATGGGCATAATGGCTTTCCTGGCTTTATTATTTTATAATTTGTCTTCATAGTTCACTGCCATGGCACAATTCCCAAAACTCTCTTCCTGCCTAAGAACCTTCTGGATCATGTGCTGATTTAGCATTAGCAGTGCCTTTTCCAGGAATCCTTCGTGAACATGAAGTCAGCAGGCTCAAAGAGTCCTGAGCTCCCAAAAAACCCCTACATTAATTCCACCTGGAAGCATCTAATAGTAGCTTCTGTGGTGGCCAGAAATAAAAGAATTTCTTTTCATATTCTGCCTGATGGGGAATCATCATCTCCACTGCGTTGTTCTGATTAGCAGAAACAGCTTCTGAAGTTCAAGGGCTTCTGGTTCCCACTTCAGGTTTTCACAAGAAAATGTTCATGAAATGATCACTTTCTCCATCCTCAAATTACTTTTCAAAATACATTTTATTTGTGACTCTGCAGCATATCTGAGGTTTGTGTGTGACATGTGAAAGGAATCCAGACATTGTTTTCACTTGTTCTAAGAATCACAGATTTGTAAGAATGAGATGCTGAAGATGCCTCAGTCAAAGCAAACCCAGTAGTAACTTCCAAAAAGTAACACTTCTAGTCCTCATGCTCAGGTTTTCAGATTGCAGCATGAGCTCTAATTGCACCCTCCAGCAGCTCGCACATGCTCATAGCACAGCCCTGTTGTTGGGAGCCTTCCTGCCTGGCAGTGTTGGCAGCCTGTCATCTTCATTGTTCCTGTATGGTCATGTCATTTTAAATATTAAAACCCAGTAATTCATTTTTAATGGCTGTTAACATTGTTTTTGGAACTGTCTGTCTGCCTGAGGAGTCATTTAAGAGACACTTTAACCTGCCAGGGGCATGCTTCTTGCCAGTGTGGAATTATTCCAGAAATAAGTTTAATTTCCCAGTTGCTGTAGTTAAGCTTTTATTGGCCTTGGCCTTCACAGATTATTTCTCTCCATCCCGTATTCTCAGAAATCTTTTACTTTGTGGAGTGACACCAGCAATCTCACCAGAAAAAAAACAACCAGTAAAGCCTTCATGAACTATTGACATGTAGAAACCAATGCTGGTGTTACCTGTGTTGCTTTTTCTCTCAAGTACTTCAGAGTCACACTCTGCTCTCTGGGGAAAAATGATCTGTTTGTGTGGAGGTGTTCACATGTCTTCTGTGGAACTCTGTCTGTTAGAAATGGCAGAGAAAGCCAGGAGCTTTACTAAGGGGGACGTGACATCTGCCACAGGCATCCAGTGTTCTCTTCCTAAAGGAAATTCAGGAAAGTGACTGTTCTGTGCATGGACTGCATTTGTGTTTTAAGAACATAAGCAAATATGGGCTGTCTGTGTCACAACTCCATGCTCTGATAGTGCAGACTTGAGGGAGTCAATGGAAAAGAAAATGCTGAGGAAATGAAATAGGGAATTTTAACTCTCTGATGCTGAGGCCTGAGAAAGTCCCTGGCAGCTTGTCCTTCTGGCCACCACATAGCAACATTTCAGTGTTTTCAGCAGTATTTGTATCTGTTGGTGTGAGTTTGGTTTTGCTGTGCTCTTGCTTCGGGCACAGGGTCCCTGCCCATGTGCAGGTGTTCAAACACTGCCAGGCAGGGCAGGAATGACCCCCTCCCTCCTGTGTTTCCCTGCAGGCTATGGAGCACCGTACGGATACAGCACAGCGGCACCAGCCTACGGTACGTACAGTCCTGTCATTAACACCTTAGAAATTATGCAGAAACTGTTGTGGCAGTCCAAATGTGGCAGTCCAAGGAGAAATTCAAAGAGATTTAAGCTCTTAAACCATGACAACAACACCACTTTTATGCCATAACCTTGTGGTTCTTTTTTGGTTGGAGTAGCTTTTTGCCTCTGCTTTGCCTGGTCTGTGGAAGGACTGCTTGTTCTAATTGCCTGTTCCCTTCATACTGGAACCCAGTCAAAGTAGTTCCCTTACTTTTTACAGCCAGTCTGTGCTCCATTCAAAGACTACCGAAGGGCCTATTTCAGCATCTGTGACCCAGATTTAGCTAAACGGCATTACAGTAACATTGGTGCAATGTTTGTCCCCAAGTGTAAGTGACTTGTGGACAAAGCTCCCTTAATGCTGTCAACTCTTTGAAGTCTATGGGCAAATACCCCCCCACCCTGCAGGCTAAAACACCACTGCTTGAGACACCAGGATGGGTTTTGGGTAGTTGGTACTGGTAGCAATCAGTCTGTGAGGCAGCCAGGACACAGTCGTTTGCCACAATGCTTTTCACTATGAAACATGTTCTATTAGGCTGGCAAAGCACTGGTTTCTCCATGGAGATTGTAAAATGAGCTGATAACCAGAGAGCTGTGATGGAAGGGTTTTCCTTAACTTGGCTTCTCCCTCCCCACTGGCTTGTTTTATGCTGGACTAACAATGCATTCCTCTAACCGGCCCTTTTGGTTACTTTGAATGAGGTTTATGTGGCAATGGGAGCAGGGCACTTTGGAGTCAGTGATATGTCCTGGCACACACAACTGAGCCCACCAGGACCAGTCCCACCAGCCTCTCCTGTGGCAGGGACTGGTCACAGTCTGCTGCTCAAATGACTGGCATGTTTCAAGGCCTGGAGTTTTTCATATGGGAAACTTTTGCTTTTTAGCATTTTTAATAAGTCATTCCTCCCAAATCTGCCTAACTTGGGCAATACCAACTCCCCTGATATCATTATAAAAGTTAAAAATATTTTGAAATGTCAATTACATGACTTTTCTAGAGGTATGAGCTCTAACAGGGCAAAAATGCTGCTGCTTTATGGAAAATGTTTGCTTTGCCTGACTGGGACCAGCTGGTCCAGTTCTGTACTGAGAGGGAGAATGGGCCCATGGGCTGTGTTCAGTGTGGAATTCTCCCCCAGGTCTGGAGCAAACCTCTCTAGTTTTATACCTGCTCACTGGCCCTGTCCTCTGACAGAAGGGCAGCTGGCAGCAGGGCTGTCCCATGGAGTGTTGTCCTTTGTGGTGCATCACACAAGGAACAGCAACATGTTTTTTCAGAGAAAAATGAAAGGGAATTTCGTTTGGGGTATGGATTTTTTGAAAACCCCCTTGGTTCTTTTCAAGCAACAGTCTCAGAGTATAACTAGGATTACTGGTATCTGCATGTCTGTGTTTTTACAAGCAGTGACACACTGTGACATGAGGAATCCTTTCCCTGCTGAAGGCAGGAATGCAACTGTTACCAAGTTTCCCTGCAGCTTTTCTTGCTTTTTTCATTCATTCCTTCTGGTTTGGGATTTTTTTTCTCATTATGCCTATTCTGGGAGCTGGATTTTAAGCACTTAGGTGTATATGTGTGACATATCGCTGACTTCAAAGCATTGTGGAATTGGATGCCCCCATTTTTCACATAAAGAGTTTCTGTTCTTAATGTCTTATGATTGTGATGCAAAGTTCTGGGATAATGCTTTTTGGCTGTAAGGTAAACATGTCTCTTTGCCTTTGTAAGCTGTTGCATGTTGGGAAACTTCACTTTGATCATCTGGTGCTCTGAAATACCTGCTGTTGCTGCTTTGTGATTTCTAAATGGATACATAGGTTAAATACTAGAATTTAAATAGGCAAGATTAAAAAACCAAACAAACGTTTAATTGTGCAGAAGTTTGTGAGGCCACAAGAACTCTAAAATAATAATGAAATCAGGCAGATGTCAATCTTTCCAGATTTACTACTTCAACACAGGAGAGGAAGTGCAGAATAAGGAAGCAGATGCAGAATTTACTGTAGGTGCTTGATTTTTGGCTGACCTACCTGGATGCTGATCAAAACTGCTGAACAGTTTCCCTGTGAGTTGTATTTTATGCACAGCAGTGTCTGTCTAGAATATCTGCAATTGCAACTGGCCTGTGAAATTACCTCAATGTAGAACAAACTAGTAGAGATTAATTACCATAAAGATTATGAAATAGAGCTTCAAGTCCAAATACACACTCTGCTTTTGAGAATATCACTTCCTTAATTTTACCAAACACCAGGACAAAAATAAAGCAGACTTTAAGCTATAACCATCTGTCTGAAACAGAGCAAAGTGGTGAAGTGTTACTGTTTATGGGACTCTGCACCCTGACATCACCTTGACTGACTGATCTGGAAAAGGTTAATGAGAACACTGCTGTAAGCTCTTATCTGACTTTCTTGGATTGCTGAACTTATTTGGAGTCCTCTCCCTTTCTTCTCTCTGTAGGTTTACCCAAGAGAATGGTTCTGTTACCAGTTATGAAATTCCCAACTTACCCCGTTCCCCACTACTCATTCTTTTAGCAAATGGCAGAAGCTAATTCCTATTGATTGAACAACACAGTACAGTACAGAATGTTAGAAGAAAAAAAGCCTTTTTATCCTGTTTTCTTTGAACACATACTTGAGAAAGTCATTTGTAAAGAAACATCTTTTTCCTACTTTTTGATTTTAACAAAATGCAAATTTATTTCTCTAAAACTTGAAAAAAATGTTCTGTGAAATGTTACCTCATTTTCAAATAACTTATACCAGCCTTCTGTTATAGGGAAGAACTAGAAGCTTAAATCTTACGTTTTAAATGAAGTATCCGATTATGTAAAATTAAATTTGTGAAGGATGTATAGAATATAAAACACTGATCACAAATAAACTGTTTTGTTGTAACACAAGAGTACTGCCTGTTTCCTAATGCAGTCACACAGACTCAGTTAATGACCTGTATTTGCTGTAGGGTTATTAAATGCAGGGCATAGTTCTTTAAAAAACAAAAATAAAAATAATAATAATAATAAAAAAACACAATAGAAACTTTACAGTTAACATTTAACTTTGTAAATATTATGGTGTGTAATAAACTTAGTAAAATATGGGTTAAAATATTGTTTTATCTTATTTTTTATAGTTAAGCATCAGTACCTGAGTTTCCTTATAGATCAGCATACTGTGATTTTAGACACAGTCTTAATTATCCAAGAAGACTTTTCACTCATACACAAAATGCTGAAAAACAAATGAAACAAAGGGAATTAGTCTGTCTCTGTATAAGGCTGCATTCTGTGAAACAAGTATTAAACAAGTATTAAAGGAAGTTCCCACAGAAGGATGCAATTCCAGGGATACACCTTACACCTGTATTGCCCAGAGAAAGGACAACAGTAATGTTACAATCAGGTTCTTTAGAGCTCAAAAACTACATGTTTTCCTTTCTTTTCTGTTTTTACAAAAAAAAAAAAAAAAGAAAAGAAAAAAAAGAAAAAAAATTCCACTTGTTCTTGTGGCCTTCTTCACTTTTAAGATTGTCTGCCCACCCTTGATTTTCCATCCACCATTTCTACAGAAAGCATTTTATTTGTCAATTGTATATTAAACCAAAGGTTCTCCTTTCCCCCTTACATTTCTAAGAATCTAAAGCAGCAACAAGGTCCCCATGAAAACTTGCTATTTAATTGTCCCAGTTCTTGTTGAGTGCTGCTGTGAAAAGTGACACACTTCAGCCATAGGCCAGTACTTTTTTACGAGTTGGTGCTCAAACCCAGAGTCCTCTTTTTGATGAGGAGTGTGTGCACCTGTCTGAAATTCCAGGATAGGCCCCAGCTCCACGACTGGAGTCTCCATGGATTGTGGACTGCTGCGGGCTCTAACACGGGGTTCCAGTGCTCTTTATTAAGGTATCACCCCACAAATAAGCAGCATTGTTGGTTGCACTCTCTCCTCAGCCCCCGCCCATTGCTTTTCCATAGGCTGGCTTTAGTTCCTGCTCTTCCAAAGATTTGCCTCTGTCCCCTGTTCTCTAACAGACGCTGCTGCTGAGGCAAGGGGAGCTGTATCTGTGTTGAGGGTGTTGTAAGAGCGGTGCTTAAAGCAGCGTAAAGTTCCTCCTCCCCACAGCCCCCTTAGAGGGAGAGAAACCTTAGAAAAGCTGAATAAGGGGTGGCTTATAGAACAAGCTGCTTTCCCTGGAATTAACTGCAGCTGTTATTCTTAAGCTAAGTATTTGTGCTTAGGAATGTGTTGACACTTCCACGGTTCTCCTCCTGCCGTAGCTCTCGCTTCCGTTTGGTGTCGGTGGTACTTTAATAAAACGTAGATGATGGCCCAGGAGGGTGAGCCTGGTGTCACCCACGGAACACAGAGCAGGGCCGGGGATGGAGCCAAATTGAGAGGTGCTCAGAAATCACTGATCTGTTTTGCTGGCCTATGGATGAAAGGAAGCCATCACGGAGCAGAAAAAGCATGGCTGATCAGAGCCCATTTTTGTTAATCAAATATTCATTAAAGGAATCTTTCCTCTGCACCACATTTCCCCCCTCCCCCCCCTCTTTTTGGAGTTCCCCTGATTGGCAACTGTTTGTAGTTTCCTTTTTTTTTTCCCTGAATCCCTAGTTTTGTAAAATTCCAAACAAAATATTCTGTGAACCAATTCTATACAATGAACATTTGTAAGCCAAAAACAACTTCTTATTTCAAAGACAAGAAGGGCGCTATGCTCTTTTCCAACATGATGGCAGTCATTTCAGATGATTTATAGAAGTCATTTTTTATTTTTTGTCATTTGTTGGGAGTTACTAACCACATTGTAAACTTGCCCCCTTGCTGCATATTTTACATTTCTCTGCTTTACTGAAAATATGAATGAGCTGTCAGTTCTTTGTTTAGAAAGTGGTAACCTTGGAAGTGTTAGATGTTTCAATACCTTCAAAGAATTCAAAGTGCCCATTTTACAATGAAAATTCCACTTGCAGCTGAAAGAGCAGAGAAATTTAAATGGAGCTTTAGCTTCAGCCAGTCTCAGAAATTAACGTGAGGTTCTTGCTTCTCTGCTCTTCTCCCACTGTAGGTGGTTTTTTCATTGACAGTCCCTATTGCCAGCCTCTCAGCATCGCACCTTTTATTATTCACTTGGGCCCTCAAGATTTCTTCTCTGACTTCTAGAACCATCAGGTTGTGTGGCTCCAAATGGCATTTTGTACATGTCTTAAAAGCAAGAAAAACGTGGCTCGTTTTGAGGTTTCTCAACTTCAGACATGGGATCTGAGCTTTTTTTCCTTCTTTTTTTTTTTTTTTTTTTAAAGTGTTTTTCTCACTTCTTGAACTTTGCTCCATGTAATGAAAAGCAATACTTAGTCCAAGCCACAAGTCCTCTCTTTGGGTACATAGCAATAGATGTCTATATACTCCTGGTTATTTCTTTACACTAGAAGGGGAAGGACTGGTGTGTTGAGGGGGGAAAACCAAATGCCAAACCAAGGCACAACCCGGGTCGAGTGCTGCTTCAAGCACTGAAATCTGCCTTTACTTTCACTATTGAAGTCCTTCAGAATTTTGATACTATACTGTATTTGCATGTTTCCTATCAAAGTTGCTACAGAGCTGTGCAATGGTCACTCCTGAAGCAGCAGTGCTTTGTACCATTGTGCATGTCAGCAGACATGAAATGTAGCAAAATGGCAGAAGAAAAAAAATAGAATATAATATTTTTTCCCAAAATGTAACTGAATGATAGATATATTCTCTCTCTCTCTCTTTCCCACATCATTGATATGAGGCACAAAAATGGTAGGCCTGAACTTGAAAATCAAGTGGATTGCTTTTGTGTCTCTTAAAATCATCATCCAAATGATAGGAAAACACAGTATTTGGGAAACATCCAGTTCAAAAACCATTGCTGCTCTAAATTTACTGAGATTTTTCCCTCTTGAATATTTGTATGTTGATATTTTGAGATTGTCAATCAGCAATAACTGAAAGGTGAATGTTTTTTTAAATGGTATTGGAACATCTATATGTTGCAGCTTAAGACTTCTAAGCAGTTTTCAGCAGGTTAATTCCACTTTATTCTCATTCTCTCCGGACCTTCATAGCCATATGCACTTGTATAAAATAAGCAGAAATGTAGTGACTGTAAGCTGAGATCGTGATATAAAAGGTAAGAGATTTTATTTTCAGCTTAAAGAATATTTTTATTGCTTTTTTTCTAAAAATCTCATATACCTGTGACAATCTTGTATACGGCACGTTTTTATTATGTCTTGTTAACTCAGTGTTTAAAGAAGTAATACATAGGTCTGAATCCCAACTTTGTATTCTCAAAGCCAATTCAAATACTCCAGTTTCAGTTAAAAAATATTACCTAACACTTAAGAAATTGTTTGGTTTTATCAACAGACTGTTCTCCTTCAAATATTTTTCTCCTGTGTAGCATAAAAAGCTGTGTTGATACTGCTGTGTCAGGCACTGCATTCCTTGAATCCCTGTGGACACGTTTGGGTAGGTACCAAAGCCAGGCCGTGGCCTGCTCTGAATGCACACCTTGGTTCTGGCTGAGTGCAATGGATGACACTAAGAATGAGAGAAACTATTTCCCTAAACCATTAAAGCTAAACTCCAAATGAAGAACGAACAACTCTGATGATATTGCAGTTAAAATCTGCAGAGATCAAATTACATTAGGTCAAATTAATTCAGGAAGCAGCCAGGTTTGCTTCCCTCCTGTGGGTGCAGTGCAGGACAGGAGGGCAGGCAGGCAGGGATTTATCTCTGCGTGAATCCTTTGCTTAGCTGTGGTTTTCTACAGCTGGAAATTAGGATACAGCCATCCATAAATAATTGCTTTCAGTTCTGTAGTAAACGTTTTAACAATATTTTACTTAGATTAAAATGGGTTTGGATTATGACCTATTGGTGCACATGATATGTGTAGTTTTAAAATACTATTTTTTTATTTGTCTTTTAAACCTTGCGTTATGCAAAGTTGCACAGTACAGTACTCCAGAAGTGCAGTACTTGCAGTACTTGAAGTTGCTGGAAACAACTCTTTTTATATAAAAATGGTTAAAAAATAAAAAAGCAAAAGGGAGCAAGCTGATGATGCATTAGCATTTTAGGGTCTCAGTTCAGAGATGAAAACATGAACAACCCCTGACTGGTAACAGTTGACACTGGTGTCAAACAGAAAACCACTTGGTACAGAATATGCAGTGGTGTATCAAGCCCAAGGGTCTGCATCAAAACACTAACAGCAAATAGAAACTATATTTGATTTTAATATTGAATCATCAAATTCACTAAGTAACTGCACGTACATCCATTCCTCAGGATATTTCTGGATATAATGCATAGGCTGGTAAGAGAAAAAGAGCTGTCAATAATGTCAGCTTTGCTCCTGAACTTGCACCTGGGAAATGAACTGAGGAACTGTTCCAGGGGCTGGCCCTGGAAGCACATAATCCCTCCATGACATCTGCAGGACAACTGATGAGCAATCAGAACGTCCTTCCTGTTCAGGGGGCAGGTTCCCATCTGCTGTTATCTTCAAGGTGCAAACTCAGGGCTGGATCTGCAGCTCACCTACAGTTCAGTCCTTTTTAAGCCTGGCAGGCTCAGCAGTGCTGATCCTGGAGCAGCAGGCTGCTCTGCTCCTTCAGAGAGGATATTATATGCATCAAGGTGCATTATAATGAACTTCTCCTGAATATTCCTTTCCTAAGCTTAACTGCTGTCAGCCTGACAAGCACTGTCCACTTCAAGGACTGATAATAAACATCTTGCTGACTCTCATTTGATCTGCTTCTTTGTGGACTGTGCTTGGCAGCTTAATCCATGTGTATTTCTTTCCAGCAGAATTGCTTTAACTGTGAATTTCTGTATTTTTCTGTTATTACTCTTTTTAACTCTTAAAATCCTAAGTTTTCCACTCTCCTGCTGGTTTTTTTTAAATTATCTCAACTTTCTTGCATCTTTTTTTCTCTAGATTTCTCTAATACCCTGCTGTTTGTAATGCAGTAAAGCATTGCAGTATTTATGTCTGAGATGGCCCCTTGCCTTTGCTGCCTCTCTTTTCAGCAGGAGAGAATCATTTTCTGATATGTGAAACACACTAAGACTCCTAAATCTGGGTTCTGCAGCCACCTGGAATCAGAGATAAGACCCTAAGGCACATGATTGCCTGGGAACCCCTCTCATTCATGTGGAACTTGAGCAAAATAGCCCCATGTACTGAAGGGTTACAGAGTGGGCTCTGAAGTGTCTGGTGTCTCCATGTTTGAGAGCAGCCAATTCCATCAGTAGATTTTAGCCTAATATCAGGCTATTATCTGATGAGTAATCTGGGTAACATCTGCTTCGTCAATGTTGCATCAAGCTTGGTTTTGCTAAAGCAAAAGTAGAAACTCGTTTTTCTGCATAATACTTTTAGGTTTCCTTTTAAAAGTCTCCTCACAGGAGCTTGGTCTGAACTGCCTTTTCTGTGAGGTTGGAGGTCTGTGTTACAGCTACTGAGCTTTGCATTTCTGCATGTACCCAAGAGCCAAACACATAAATCTGGCTGTGTATGCTCTGTGCAGCTGCCAGTAGCGTTACCAATTCTGAAGTACCTTTTCAGTGGAGCAGAAATGGTATTTTACAGTTCAAATTTCTGGTTCATGGAAAAGAAATCTGAAAAGTTCCTTTCAATTAGTACATCTATATATAGGAGACCAGGGAAAGTCTGTGCCTGTACACTACCCACCTTAACGCTAGTTTTAGCTAACCAGACGATCGTGTGTATTTTGGGAGATGGTGTCTGGCACTTAAAGGATTAAAAGCCAGAGTTTTACAATGAAGAACCAAACTGTTTAATGTGTTCTCTATACTGGAAATGAATGGCATCACCATCGACTTTGCAAAAAGAGACCTGAGCTTTAGGGGTCTGCTTCAGTCCTACTTTGCCAGCCACAAGAGATTCCTCCAAGCAGGCTCTACCTAGAGAAGGGTTTGGAGTAACCAGACTGCTTTGGAGGGCTTGGCCAGCTCAAAGCATGGTATGTGGTGCTTCCTGCCATGGTGTTCTCTCTCTGCCAGTGCTTGCTGTCTTCTTAAGCACACATTCAGGAGCTGGAACACAGTGACCTTATTCCTGGGCATCTCGCCAGTTGGATGGAGGGAGGCCAGCCTATGCTCCTGAAGGGAATGTGTAACACGAGGCCTCGGTTGCCCAAGCAATTTCTGTTGGACACAGTGCACAATCCAACCCTCACAAAGGCAATTTAGTGCCTGGGTAGGTGGTTCCTAATCTGTCTAATTTGCTGTCGTGTAGCCAGTGTGAGCTAATTAGATGATTCAGCAATTGTCATGGCTCCCCACTTAATGTGCTGGAAATGCTGCTGCCACGACTTTCACTGCTGTTAAATACCTTTGCTTCTGTGAAGTCTGTCCTCCTGCTCTGCCTTTTCTGATCATCTAGAACCCTAGTAAATAACTGATTCTCTCAAATTATGAAATTGTTGCATAGAAGTGTCTAGATTCTTAAAAACTTTTAATCAGACTGTGAAGCACTTCAGAGAAACCAGTTTTCCTACAAATATTTCAACTTATTCATGTGCCAGAGGACTATTTCTACTCATTAATAAAGATCTGAAAACTGCTCCAGTATCTCTCATCTCTGGAGACAAGGATTCTTTCTTTGAGAACACTTGCCTTCTGGTAGGAGAAAAAAGATTTAAAGTGTGTCTTAATAAAAGACTGTGCCCTCAAGCCCCTGAAAGAACTTAACTGGGGAAAAGTGCACAAATCTAAAATTATTTGAGGCTTTTTGCTTTCATTGAGCTATTGAGAACAATTTCCCTGACAAGAAGTTCCTCAGATTATTAGGATGTAGAAAATGCAGGAGGAAGGGCATGAAGATTTTTCAAGTAGTCTAGGGAAAAAATCTTCTGTTTGTTCACTGTTCAGCTATGCGACATCATTCTCACTTCTTTATCTCCAAGCTGGCAATAAATGTGAGCAGCTTTAATGTACCATCTCTGATCCAGGCCTGGCAATGTCCCTTGGAGAATGAAACTCCCTGTTTTTTTCTGCCACCAACTCCCTGATATAAAGTCCCTTGCTTCATTTGTAATTCTGCATCTGTACTTCTGAGCCAGTCTAGAGGTGGGACAGCTGAACATCCTTCCAAATCCGTATAAACAAAAGAGAGTATTTCAGTCTTTACTCAGATAAAATTACAAGTTTCCTTCTGCCTCTTGTGCTTGGTATACCAAGATGTGCTCACTCACTATTAGAACTTCTTGCCTTTAGCTAAATTCTAAGACAGTTGCCTCTTACTTAATGAAGGGAAAACTATGTCCCAGCCTCAGTGAGTTCCAAGTCACAAAGAGCTTCCAAAAACAGCTCCTATTTCCGGTGGCTCGGGGAAACAGCAGAGGAGCTCTGCTGCTGTGGATTCCTTTGGATACATGATGAGATGTGTAAACATGAAATTCAGATTGTTGTTCTCAGTCCTGAAGCCGACTAAGACCTTGCCTCTCTGGCATCAGAAGAATGAAAATGAGCTCTGTGCTGGGCACACTGAGGAGCTCTGTTAGGAACGGCTGTTCTGTCTCAAAAAACAGTAACTCAGCTCAAATGTTCAGCACACAGACCCTCTTGGGCTTCCTGCTGAATAATCCAGTGAAAAATGAGATCTTTTATTGACTTGTTTAAAGCAGAGCAAAAAGACAGGGTAGCTGAATCTGCTGTCTTAGTACAGGAGACAGCTTGTCTAACAGCTTGTTGGTTTCATTCCACTGGAAATGGAAATTCTGCTGAAGTCATTTTAGAGCACTTCACCAGAGAAACCCAGCACTGAAGTCCTGTGCCTATGGACCACAGCAGCAGTTTCACATGCACTTTCTTTTGAACATATTTAAGTTAGTGGTTAAGTGTTTGGCATTAAGAGAATTGTCACCACTAAACTGTTTTATTGCTTAACCCCAGAGCGATGCCTTCTTAGCTTTATTTGTGTCATCCGAATCCACACCTATTTATGTCCAGGTATTGTGGTGTTTGCCTTTTCTGCTCATAGATATGGGATTCACTTGTTGGTTTGTAACTGATATGTGAGCTAATACAAAAAGCAGAAGCAGGACACATCTGCCTGTTCCTCTGTCTACTCCTCTCTCTGGGGTTTCCTAGGAGAAAGGGGGCTCTTCCTCCCACACCAGTCTGATGCTGTGTAGGCAAGGCAGTGCTTTACTGTGAGTGCTGTGAGCTAGGTAAGAGAAAAGTTCATCAGACAGTAAGGTTTAAATTCAGTAAAGTGGGGTTTTTTCTCCAGTTCCTGAGATTGCATGAAACACTCAGACCACGCTGTTTACCTTGATGTTTTTGAGGAGCTGAATGTCCAAAAGTGGTGTGTGGAGATGTGCAGTCCTAAAGCATATCTCTTATTTTGGATGTTGTTTTATCTTGTATTTGGTGCCTTAATTCTGTACAATTTAAGGTCATATATACTGTACCACAGGTAGTTTAGCAGTTGTGTACTTGAAAAGAACCCATTAAGCCTAGTCTATAGAAACTCTTGTACAGACTGAAGCCTTCTCAGGGGGAGTACTCTTCCATGTTTAATTAACAGTCCACCAAGAAGTGAGAGTTACAAGAATGTAAATTTTAACTGCAGAGACTGAATTTATCTGATTTCTAACTTCAAGATTTGGGGCAGGAAGATAATTAAAGCTGCAGTCTCTTCTATGCTGTGTAAGTAAACAACTTCAAAATGTTTTCTCACCAGCCAGAACTGCACATCTGTGAAAACCTCTGGACTGTTACCTCTAGTAGAATAAATAACACTTAATTTGAAAAGGCATTAATTGAATGTAACTGGCTATCCTTCATTGGTTAGCTCAAGAGAGTTGCAATGAGCAAAAGCTGCAGTTAATTTTTATTTGCTTAAACTTAAGCCTCATTCATACCTCTAACCAGGATCTAGAAGCTCCAGCTGCCTTATGCTGCTTTGCAGTTCGTGAGGTGTAGTGCAGCATCACCTTGAACACAGAACTTCTGAATGCATCTGGTTCTGGCAAGAGAGAGAAAAGGTAACAATGGAAGAAAATGTCCTTCTCCAGTTTTAGAGGTTAGAGCATCATAGACAGAAGTTGGAGGGAAAGTTGCACTGCCTTTTCCAAGTCCATTAAGACAGTCTGTGGTAAAACCAGGAGGTTTATGTGTGCTGGGGAAAGCCAGCAACCTTGTGTACTATGAGCTGGGAGAGCTGGGATTACTTTTTCAATAGTTAGTGAGAAATTAGGTAAGAGGTTTAAGCTATCCTTACAGCAGGCTAAAAGCTGCTAATGATGTTGCTAAAGGAGATGAATTTATTTTTTTCTGCTTAGTAAACAAGTCCAGGATTGCTGGATTTCCAGAGGAGGAATGTGAGAAATCCAATGGACAAATTTTGTTTCCTGATGCAGTCCTACCCAAAACAGGGAGATAGTTCCAGGCAGTGTACAGAGCATGCAACTGAATTTTGGGAGGAAAAGGAATAGTAGTAATTTCCTCAGAAGGAATAGTAGTTATTTCTGCAATGCCCACAGGATTCTAGACAAGCTGCCTTTACACAGAGGAGCATGGCAACAAGGAAAAGCAGATACTGCTCCCACAGTGACCAGTTTAGGTCACCAATATTGGTGTAACTCCTTATGACAAAGTAGGTTCATCTTACCAGCAAAGTGTATTTTGATATTGTATCCACTTCTATTTTTTAAGCTAAAGGGGAGTTAATCATAGCACTCATCTGTTTCGATGGGAGTAGAGCAGAAGGTAAGTTTTAACTTCATACTTTGAAGCTGCTATGAATAGATTAACAGTGTTCCATGGAAACAACCTGATGTACTTCTTTATTTTCCTGGAGTTTCATTTCTGTGTTCTTGCAAAAGCACAAGCTTGCAGAAGCGTAATCAATACAAAGTTACTCAGGGTACTGCATCATCTCAGCAGTGGACACTAACTGCATCTTAAGTCAAAAGGCACACATAAATCAAGCTTAATTAAGAGGAACAGGACATCTTGGCAAGTTTTGCTTTTTTACTGGCACTGCTACAATTTAATGATCTATGCATACTGAAATGTGTGTATTGCTGCACTCCCAACAGAATGTGAGTCTTGTAAGGGTGTCCTGAAAAGTAACAAAGTCAGGGCAAGAGAGACAGTATTTATTCTTCTGTCATTATTTTCACAAAGAACTGTTTCTAAGCAGATGGAAAGTCATTCTGCTCAAAGGAGAATAACGGTGGGCTAGAGAACAGCATTCAGAGTAGTACAGCTTTTGGAAGGTTAGTGATACTATGAATCTAATTACAAAAATTCTGATTTGCAGTACAGATTCTTTCCTGTGTTTTTAATCTCATATCACTGTTTCCCTGCTCAAAATAACAGGATAAAGACAAGTGTAGTTTTCTGGTAACACCTATTATGTGGAAATCCACATACACTGGAAGAAAAGGGAGGCTGTACTGCAGAGAGCACATTCAACTACAGAGCCATTCTCTGGGCAATGCTGCATAATTTAGGAGTGGGTAACCATGCCTTCAGGGACAACAAGACACAGAGCAGATGGTTGAAAAAAAAATCACAGAAAAAAGCCTCCAAGCTTTGTCCAGTCACACATTTACCCGTCCCTGCAAAAGGGGACAGGTACATTCATACACGCATAACGAGTTTTCTGTCAGGCATCACAGAGGTCCTTAAGGACAAAAGTTTTGGAGCCAGTCTCCTTTTGGACAGAAAAAGGAGGAAGTTGACTCTGTCTTCCAGTTCCAAGGTGCAGTGTCTTATTTCTCATCCTAACCCTAAGTCAATATTTATTGATCAAACTGACTAAGCTTTTTAGGCCGACCAGCTCTCTACGAAGCAATTCTGTTCTCTTGAGCCTCTGCAGGGGCCAGTAACTGGTGCTTAACTACTGCTTCCACTCCGGAATGTCACCGTCCTCCAGCTGCCCCAGAGCCAGGCTGGGACACTTGCACTTCTCAGAGGGCAACACTGCTGGGGGTGGGGGCTCTCCAAAGCACTGAAGTACAACAGCAGAGCAAGTCCCAGTGGGCTGTATGCTTTTAAAGTCCTGTCCAGTTCTTAGTGACAAAGTTGAGCATGAAACCTGTACTGCCAAATCTAGCAGCCCCTTGCTGAGAAGGACATCAATGGGAAGCAGTCTCAGAAGTGGAGATTTTCAGGAAAGGCTGGTGCTTTCCAAGGCCAACTCACAGGCTTTTTTTTAATGGCTGAATTTCCACCCACCAAAAATCATCATCAACCAAATAAATTTAAATTGCTGTTAATTTGGGCTAAAATATCCTTTGTGCAACTCAAAGCACCACCATCCATGCATCTAAAGAATTCCTAAGCAAAGACTCCTCAGGAGGCAGAGCCCTTCTGACAGGAAATTTGGCAGTGCAGTCTGATTTGACTTTTCTGATGATAATTACTTCTCCAAGACAAGGCAAAAACAGAGGCAGTGCTTTGGGGCAGTGTTTCATGCTCAGCAAGTTTGTAGAGGGAAGTAATGCAATTCTATAAATCACTTGTACTGTATTTGTTTCTAGACTTGAATGAATTTCACTTTTCCTTTGTGAGTCAGAGTATTAAACGTTAAAGAAAAGGTCTATTTTTCTAAATCTCTTTCACCAATAGAGGTCTGACCTGCAGCCAAGAGATGGATTTATTTATCCACAGAGGATGGAGTGTTTATTTTTGAACTAAGATTGGATATGGCATTGAATAAAACGTATGACCTATAAACTACCTAAACCTTAAATACTATGAACGAATTCCACAAATGAGTAATATGGTGGACGATTCCATCTTTCTTCCCAATAAATCTCTCTCAAAGAAGTTACCCAGAATTAAACTTCCAAATGAAGTACAAGAGATCCTTGTGGTCTAATTACAGACTACTTTCAAAATACTTCCGTTTTCTCCCAATTTGTAATCACTAGAGAACAATGATGACTGAACTATTCCCAACTATAAATAAAGCAATTTCAAATAAAGTAATCTGGCAACAACCATGGCTATTTATAGCACTAAAAATGTAATTTGAACATTCGGATTTTCTTAATTTGGTAGCAGTTGAGTGGGAAGAAAAATAACTGCACAGTGAATTTTAAATTGAGCTGTATCTACTCACTAGCCAAAAAAAGCGTACAGATGTAAAGGGAACGCTCTCTGTACCTTCAGTTGCTTCCTCCCGTGCTGCTGTACCCCGTACACTTGGCTTCATTTGGCTTCTGTGCTGTGGTTTGTACGCCAGCCACTGTTACTGACTGTACACAACACGATCTGCACTGTAATCTCGGGTCATTTCCACTGGTTGTAACCCAACACTACAGACTTCTCTGTATATAAAACTGGAACCATGTCCCATTTGCTTCCAATAGCTCCAATAAAGACTTATCTCTGTAAACAGGAATTATGGCCTAATGACTGGTTGGGGGGGTTGGTTACAAGCTGCCTCCAAGGGGGCCCTGAAGCCTGGGATGCCAAACCACAGAGGTCCATTGTGCCTGAGTCAGGTAACAGGCTCAGCAGAAAGGAGAGCCAGGCTCCCGAAGGCTGCAGTGTTAGCAGAGACGACTTGGAGACGCAAACATAAAGCACTTTATGCTGGAACAAGCAGAATGCATTCCTGCACAGAGGTGAAAGTGAATAGAGCATTACTGGATTTCAACTTCTGAGGGCTGCTGCACACAAGTGCCTCTGGGGGCTTGCCTTGGAAGCAGTACCAGAAAAGCCCAGAGAAGGCTGTAATAGCTGTGATCAGCCAGGAAGGCAAAGTTTCACTCCAGAAAGAAATCTGGACATTCCTAGTATTTAGCCAATTAGAAAAACTGGATGCTTATTTTCTTAAAAGATAAATTATACACATAAAGAACAAGTAAGGTTCTTTCAAAGTTCTCTCCACCCCTCTGATTTCATTGTTTTTCTTAAATTCCTGTGGTCCCAGTTTGTCCTCTGAGGTCCAAAGCAAATCCAAGCAATTTCCTTGTCCGGAGTCACTGAGGGCAGGAGTTGGGGATACCACGACAATTGTGTGGCTGGTGTTTTTTGCCTGAGGCTGCAACTCATGGTAAGATTTACTGGAATATACACATTATGTCCAGCCTGGAGTTACAGAACCCAGCTGTACTCTAGAAGAGAAGTCAGTGAACATATAGTCTTACTTTTCTTAGAAGTGTTTTTCTGGTCTTGAAATGCTAAATTGAAGTCTGAGTGCAGAGGTCATTAATCAAATTCAGAGGAGATCAGACTTGAGAAGGGATTAGAAACTGTTATGAGCTGACTATAATTGAGATTGCTCTTAATGAAATGAGATATATGAAATCCCACAGCTTGGAATGTATGATAACTGGACCAGGACTTGGTATGAGACTTTTGCCCTCGACAGGCCAGTGTGCAGCCAGCCCAGCCTGCTGGCATACTGCAAACAAGTCAGTAATGCACAAAGAGCTACTCAGGCACAACTGTACCAAACACAATGAAACCATGCATCACTTAAAATTTAGAGCTGTATCAAATATTTAGCAAGTAAGATCCACAAAGCACTGAAGAGAGTCACTTAAGAAAACATCATTAACACTTAACTGAAACTGAAGTCAGTCTTACCTACTGTATTAGCATAATGCCTGTCTGTGCTCATGCCTGATGTTAGCTGGCTCACTAAGAGGTCATTCCAAAAGCTCCCTTGGGATTATCATCTCTGAGGTGCTGAGAAGGCTGTCAGCTCTTCGGCAGCAGCCTGGCAACTGCTGGTCAGTGACAGCTCAAAGCGAGCTGGGCCCACTCCAGGAGCTGGCGGGCATTCTGTGGCCTGGCAGGAATGGGAGAGGGGCACATGTGGGAGTGGGACATGGGAGAAGCCACACAGCACTGGGCCTAGACTGGCAAAGGAGCTTGGCACATCCTTCTCTCCTCACTGAGAAAATGCCTGGCATCTCCAACTCAGTTTTACTCCTATACCGCTGTAGCTAAGCTAACTTTGCCCAGGCAGTTACAGAGTATCTTGCTTGGAAGAACAGGGAAGCTGCGGCCCCCGTCCTCCCCAAAACCCCCTGCAAACCAAGAAACACCAAGTCCATCTACTTCTCCTCGACAACCTGCAGTGCCTCTGAGATTCACTATGAATCTGCAGCTGAATGCACACAGTAAAATCTGCAGCAGAAAGCTCCTTCATTTCAGGCCCTCCCCAACACTGCTTGACTGCCCCATCCCCTGCTGGCACAGCACCGAAGGGATCCATGCAGAAGGAACCATCTGCTTAACAAGCAACATGTCCAGTTTACCTTGCTGCAGTCAGCATCACCTTGGAAAAGTGTATTTGATTACAGAGGAAGCAGGAAAAAAATACTGACTGATGTCCAAGTCTGATGTTAAGCAACTAACAAGCCAGCCTGTAACTTCCATGTGCAAAGAACTGCTGCATCTATAAAGCTACCCAAAACAGCACCCCTCTTTCTGCAAGAAGTGTCACCTCACTTAATTGCTCACGACATAATGCTGACTTTGGTGGTTTGCTGCAGGGTTGAGTTCCAGCAAGTCAGCTAGAAAGAGTTTTTCCCATTTGCCAAGCTGTAAATTATCCTTCTCTTTTGTGACCCCAATCCTTGGTAGAATCAACTGAAAGAAACTGGAGCTGCCACTGCTTTCAGGGCCCTGAATTCATCTTCACTTTAGGCTGTACATTCCAGCGCATTTATTCACAATGCTGTAAAAAGCCTGTGTGCACTCTTGTTAAAGTTACAACAAAAGGCCCATTTTCTTGCTCTAGGCATGAACACGAGGCAAAATCTTAAAAAGGTCCTTAGATCCCAAAAAAGGGTCACATACCCTGCACAAATAACACTTCCCTCTTCTCCTCTGCTTAGGTGCTGGCACACACCAAAGGTGGGATTTCCTGCCTGCAGTAAAGGCAGGCTCAGTGCTTTGCTGTTTCTGATTCATTCAAAGATTCAAAGGGACTTTTTTTTTTTTTTTTTTTTTTTAGATCAGGGCAACTTTGGATTACAGTAGAAGGGGGAAGGCTAAACCAGGGCAAGATGACAAAATACAGCTCAGTAAATCCAATTATGTTGCCCTGCAAAGCAGTTCCACACAAACTCCTATACAACCAATACTGCAAGTCCTCCTGAGGTGGAAACCTTTGAAAAAGGTAGCCACAGGACTCCTGCATCCAGCACAAAGCAAGCACATGGACAGGGGTTTGAGCTGCTCAGGTCAGTTATCCTGGGTTTAAAGAACTATGCAGTTTTGAGAAAGATGCTGTTACATGTAGAAGACATGTAACTTCTGTCTGTACATAAAACTATTCTCTCTGAGATCAAATGAATAAAAACTTGAATGGAATTTAGAACTTTCCAGTTACAGCAATTTCTGGTCTCCTCACTCTGTCCTAACTGTGGGAATGGGCAGCACCTGTAACTTCTAAAACCATTCAGACTTCAGGCTACTCCTGTAATGCTGAAGCTGGGGGCACCCAGGAACTCCAGTTTTCTGTTCATGTCTACAAGCAGCAGCCAAGTTGTCTGCAATTCACAGCAGCCTGGCACAGGCTCCCACAGCACCTCTGGCTGTGGGTTTGCCTCGTTCCACACATAAACCACCTCAGGGAGACACATAATCATCCTCATGCAAAACCCTTCCCTTCCATCTTGTTCCTCAAGTGATTCCCTGTGGTATTATGCAGCAGTTCTGCCATGGCCTGAGTAGGTGGCAAGCTCAGATATACACTGCTCTGCAAGCAACCAGCCTTCATCCTCCTCCTCCTCTTTCCCACCCATTCTCTCAGGTGCACCAGTATGAATTACCATCACACCACTTCTCTAAGCTAGCCAAGCCTCCAGGACACAGAAGGCATTAGACCACTCCCCTGTTTTCCGGGCAGCCAAGACTTGTGCCAAAACCCCAGTGGTTTGCTGTGGTGTTCCTAAAAGAAGTGATAAACCCCTTTTGCTTACACCATGACAGCTGACAGTGACACAGCACTGCCATCTCAGCGAGTCCTTTACTAGCCCTTCTCAGGTGCAGCAATTGAATATGATCTGCACAGCAGTTTTCCCTGCGTGGCATAAACTGACCAGCCACATCAGAAAACTGCATCAGGACTCATTCCAGTGTCCCCTCCCAAATGACCTTTAGGAATGTGGCTCCAAGGCCCCCTTTCCCCACCACGGCGCCAGCTCTGTGCATGAACAGACGCTCACAGCAGGGAGTTTAAACACACAGCTTGGATGTTTTCATGGCACACGCTAACTGTGCTCAGCACGAGGAGGGCTTCTGCTCAGAGCTGGCAGCCTGCAAGCCTCATCTCTTCTGCACCTTCTGGAGCCTCAGAGCCCAGTGCGGCTGCGATTCCATCTTAAACACTGCAGCACTTCCCTAAGAATCATCACTTTTGCCACACAAGCTGTTGATTAAGATGGACCTCTGCAACTCCACAACTGAACCAGCCTGCTCGCTGCCATAAAACAACCTGCACTTGGACTCCTGATCTCCTCCAGTGACCACCATGTAAGCCACACATCAAGGGCCCGTGAGATGTCAAGAGACCAACTCACATCACCTACAGCTGTAACTAAAGCTGATCAAAAAATACTTTTGCCCTAACATTTGAACAAACACTTAATGCTTTTTATATTCTGAAAAACTTCTGTGATAAACTTTTGCTATAAAGTATGCTACAGCTCCTATCTCAACCATTATTAATAAACAGAGGATCAGAATGATTTACCCGTAAGTTCAAGGTGTATTAGAAACACATCCCATAGATTTACTTCCAAGACACTTCAATTGTACTACATTTCCTCCTAGGAGATAATTTTTGTACAAGGACAGGATACAATCTGATCAGATTTGTAGGAGGAACCCATTAATTACTTAACCAGCTCAGTGGTGTGACTGACTTCTCATGCAGATTCTCCACAGGGACAACAGCCCACGGCAGCCACTCATCACATTAGAGATCAAACAGCTCCACCTTATTAGCTCTCACAGCCTTTTTCAAAGGTTTCCACCTCAGAGGCCTCAGCTCAAACCTGCCTGAGACAGGCTGCCATGAACATCACCCACCTCCTGCTGAAAGGCTGCTGCTGCTGCCTGGGAAGAACCCACTGCCTGCCTCAGCCTGAGGGGTGTCTGCAAGGGGAAAACAACAGACGAGGCCATTTAAACCCCGTGCAAATTAAGGCGAAAATTTTACACCTTCTCCACAAGGGGCATTAATGCACTACAAGTGCTGTGCAGGTTTTCCCCAAAGTATCACGCATCTCCAGCGGTTATCTGGATCTAAAGCTCTAGTGTCCTCCGCTGCCCTGGTACTCTTCTAACACCCACAGACACTGGAAGAGCTCTGGGAGGATCTGCATGGTTCCCTCTGGAAGCACCGCCCCGCCCGAAGGCCGCTGCTCCCCT